GGTAAGCTAGGTAGATGAAAGGTAACTGATGGTAATTGTGTGCAATGCGAGGTAACTTATGGTACGCAGGTAATGAGGTAGGTGGGTACATGGAAACGCGTAACCCGGCGGGTATGGAGGTAATGAGTGGTTTATGGTGAGTAATGGGAGGTAAGCGGCGTGGTAATGGAGGTAATGATGCCGTAGTCGGGTACCTAATTGAGGTAAGCGGGGTAATTGAGGTAATGGAGGTAAGCGGGGTAATGGAGGTAATGATGGTTAGCTGAGTAATGGAGGTAAGCTAGGTAATGGAGTTAATGATGGTAAGGGGGGTAATGGAGGTAATGATGGTTAGCTGAGTAATGGAAGTAAGCGGGGTAATGGAGGTAACCTGGGTAATGATGGTAAGCTGGATTGATGGAGGTATGCTGGATTGATGGAGGTATGCTGGGTAATGAGGTAGCTAAGCTGCAGTCGGTAAAGCAGGTTAATAATCATAATTATAATATAAACCCCAACATACACGGCGCAACTTTGCATGCAACTTTTGTCTTATGGAAGTTGCACCATGTATGTTGGGCAGATGGATGTCTATTCAGCACAACTTGTCTCATACACATCTCATACACGGCACAAATTTATCTTACGCAACTATGTTGGGCTTATGGTGGGTTAGGTAATGAAAAATGATCAGTTACATTATGATGCATGTAAGGTAGCAGTTTTAGAGATAAAAACAATCACTACTTGCATAACCCGGCTTACATCCACCAGCTTACCTCCATTACCCACACTTACCTCCATTACCCCGCTTACCTCCATTACCTAGCCTCCATTACCCCGCTTACCATCATTACCCACCTTACCTCCATTACCCACCTTACCTCACCTTACCTCCATTACCCAGCTTACCTCAATTACCCCACTTACCTCAATTACCCTGCTTACCATCATTACCTCCATTACCCCGCTTACCTCCATTACTCAGCTTACCTCCATTACTCAGCTTACCTCCATTACCCCGCTTACCTCCCTTACCTCACCTTACCTCAATTACCCTGCTTACCATCATTACCTCCATTGCCCTGCTTACCTCCATTACTCAGCTAACCATCATTACCTCCATTACCCCGCTTACCATCATTACCTCCATTACCTAGCTTACCTCCATTACTCAGCTTACCTCCATTACCCCGCTTACCTCCCTTACCTCCATTACCCACCTTACCTCAATTACCCAGCTTACCATCATTACCTCTATTACCCCGCTTACTTCCATTACTCACCATTACCCAGCTTACCTCAATTACCCCACTTACCATCATTACCCCCATTACCCCACTTACCTCCATTACTCAGCTACCTCCCTTACCTCCATTACCCACCTTACCTCAATTACCCTGCTTACCATCATTACCTCTATTACTCAGCTTACCTCCATTGCTCAGCTAACCATCATTACCTCCATTACCCACCTTACCTCAATTACCCTGCTTACCATCATTACCTCTATTACTCAGCTTACCTCCATTGCTCAGCTAACCATCATTACCTCCATTACCCCACTTACCATCATTACCTAGCTTACCTCCATTACCCCGCTTGCCTCCCTTACCTCCATTACCCACCTAACCTCAATTACCCTGCTTACCATCATTACCTCCATTACCCCGCTTACCTCCACTACCCACCTTACCTCCATTCCTCCAGCTTACCTTCACTACCTCCATTATTCTGTTAGTCAATTACTATTTTTAGTAGTTCATTTCCTAATACTCTCCTTACATGTGCCATCAACCCACATGTGACGTGCACCCATATGTCACATGAACAACACTGCACATACTCTTCTGTTGTATCATCAATATTGTTGCCTGGTGTGCTACTCTTATAGGGAATGTAGCATTATAAAAGGGCTAAAGGTTACTATATAAAAGCAAGGATTCTTTCACCGTCCCCCCATTGTTTTTAGTAACATTTCTACTTTTATACTGCCACAGTCCCTTTAATTACCACTTGGGCTCTATGGTGTTGGTTACTCAGTAGCATGACTTTTTGTATTATAAGTTCTGAGTATTGTAATGGTGAATGCTTAATACTTCACCTAGGCAACAATATAGGGATTGTGTGATGGGGTTGGGGGTGTCAGCGTGCTCAAATCTGTTCATTAACCATGCTTCATGTATCCCATCCCTATCTTGTCTCCCTTTCTTTTTATACCATCCCTATATGCCTCTTTTTTTTTATTCGCAGAATTTTTTAATTTACCTGTACATTTAGTGGGTAGTTGGGCTTGCAAGAAGTGATTCATGCAAAATTGAATGAATACAAAAACATTCAGAGATAAGGGTGAATTCAGACTATAACAAGACTTAGTGGTGATCATCAAAATATAGCGTCATAGTTTCCAGAAATTATCAGTAATACAGACAATAGTGATAGAGGTTGAATAGAGTATTAATAGTGAATGTATACAGTGGAACCCCTCTCTAAGAGGAAATAAGACTTAGCTCTTGAGCAAATTTGAGATGGTGAAATTGCACTTGATAGCCAGATCGACCCCGGGTCCTCCAGACTCTGCGTTGTGTCCAAACACAGGGCTCGAGCACTCGGCAGTGACGGGATAGGGATAGGTGACTGCTGCAGCTGCTACGGAAAACGGAGGGGGGCTGGCGTACTGTGTCCATCGGGGAGGCGCATGTTGTTCTGTTGGTGAAGTTTTGGCCCTGCGCGGGAGGTGCAGGGATGGGGGAAGTTTGGCTCGAGTAAGGGGAATAGCTCCAGGAGGGCTGAGTGAGCCTGTCACCAGGCTGATATTGGGCGAGGGGGGCGAAACTGGGCGGGCTCCCAATGGAGTAGCTCCGCGATATCGGGATGTGGGGTACGGTGGGGAACTCGTAAGGCATGTCGCCGACAGGTGGCGAGGAGAAGCTCCGGCTGCGTTGCTGAGCAGCCACTACCTCGGTGGCATAGCGATGGTGGGTGTTGGCATCGGGGAACACTGGAATACAGCTGGCTGCCGGGTACCCGTTCCCATGGGTGCAGGGAATGGTTGCATACGGGAGCTCGTGATTGGGGATAGGGATGCGGGAGGGGAAAGAGGTGGCGACTCCGTCAGGCGAGTGAAGACCAGTCGGAGAGGTGACGGGGTCGGCGTAGGGCTTCTGCGGGAGCTGGTGAAGGAATCTGTACCTCCTTCGCTGGAAACTCCCTTTTCTGAACATCTCTGAGCTCGCCGGGTGAAGCTTCCAAAAGTTTCCTCTCCCCGAGGAGCCGTCATCGCGAGGGGCCTTTATGAAGCACTCGTTGCGGCTGAGGTTGTGCCGGATGGTTTTCTCCCAGGTGGGCCAGAGCTTGTGGTAGTAGGGGAACTGCTGGATGATGTAATCGCAGATCTCCCTCAGCTTGAGCATCTTGTTGGGCGACTGGGAGATTGCCATCGTGATCAGGGCAATGTAAGAGTATGGTGGTTTGATGTCGTCTTGGTTGCACTGCGAGGTGGAGTTGGCCTTCTTGCGGTTTTTCTTTTTCGTGGTCGATTTCTGCTGCGTTTCGGTTGTCTCTGATGTGTTGTTGGAATTGGTGGTGGTGGTGGGGTGTCCTTGTCTGGGCGTTCATCCTCGGTGCTCTGGTTGTTTTCTCCCTCTTTTGTCTTCACCAGCGGAGAAGGAAGGGCTCTCTTTCCGTCCTCAGGCTCGCTCTCGATCGTTTTCTGCAACACGGGTGCAAAGAGGGTGGAAGAGGGGAAAGGATAACAGGCGAAATGTCTCGCTGCATTCCGTAGTGGAAGATGCAAATTGCGCACGAGCTCGTCTTACAATCTTGCAGCACCTCACAGGGGTGCCGGGTTACGCTGGCTCCGCGGCACTTACGCCGGGCACTCTAGGCGCACCGAAGCTTGCTAGGCACGTCTAACAGTGAGCTGCAACTTCTTCTTCTTTTAGCTATGCAAACTACAATACAAAATGACCCGCACACACAATAAAGAAGTGTAAATAGCAGTTACCCAACTCACCTCCATATTCAAAGGTGGTCTTGAACGGTAGCGCGATCACTGCTGTTCTCACAGCCTCACCAGCGTTTTATTCTTCTCCAGTAGACGCAGAAGAAAAAATGGACGTCGCTGTGTAAAGCACGCGCGCGTTTTAGTTGCGCATGCGCATATTCCGAAGTCGGCGCGCGGCGCGGCGCCGGCAGACACGTACGTGAAGAACACACATCGCTCCCGCTCTCGCCAATTATACGACTGACATAAATCAATGGGAAAATGTGAGAGGTTCTCTATCGCTGACTATCTGAGGTCCACTACTTCAATGGGCGACTGGGAGAAGACCACATGAGAGCATTCCTGGAAGAAGGGAAATATGAATAGACCTCACTGTGGTTGGATAATTCCTGATCTTTTAGCAGCTATTTTTCACAAACAGAGGTGGAAGGTGCTTTGATTTTTGAGTGCCTACTTTGCTGAAGTAGGTATGTCTGAGACCCTAATAATGAAAGGCACTGAAGTGCTAAACCCTCCGCGTGGAGTCCCACAGTGGGGGCTATGACACCAATACACGTTTGCTCAAACATAATATGTGTGGTCCGGGTTTATACGTCATGTGGACAGGCCGTTGGTTTGTGATGAGCGATAATAAATAATTTGATCCGCTACACAGTTAACTGGGCACAGAAGGCATTCAACGCCAAGTGCCATTTGGATAGGCAGTGGAGTGAAAAGGAACAGCACAAACTAACAGCTATTTCATGCACTTGGGGCATAACAAAGCTGTCCACAGCTTAGGGAGTAAATATGATGCAGCTCTGTAAAAGCTGGTAGGTGAACACTGCAGGGACTCTGGTCAACCTAGCTCATTCCAAGCTTAGACAAACACCTCAGGTAGCAGAAGAGAGTGTCCTACTCTACACAGTAAAAAACAGCTGTCCTAACTTACCAACCCCATTGTCCAGTAGGTACAAAGGGTAAGGAAGGGATGCTAAACAATGACAAGCACAGCCAAGCACTCTATACTCCAGCTTGCCTTTCTGGTAAACAAGTGGAGTGCAGGTCTTGAGCATGTGGATAAGGGTAGCAGGGTTTACACAGGTATCAACTCAAAATCTTGTGCAGGCTCCAACAAGCAGCAGCTATCCTATCTCCTGGCTGGCTACGAGATGTGCTTCTTCCCAAACGACTCTGAAGTTAATTCAAGTGTATAGGTCTGCACAAAGGCTTCACCTATCCTTTTTCTGATTCTAGCTACTGCCTAAGAATAAAAAGGCAAGCAGAAAGCCCCCTCAGGCAGGAAGCAGGATTGTTAATTGGAGGCATGGGCTCTTTATCAGAAATTAATTGAAATTAAACCAGATGAGTGAGCCAGCATTCATGATGGTTAGCAGAAGCAGCTGTTGCTTGTGGAACTGTATCCCCTTTTCTGCCCTAGACCCATTGTTGAAGACTTTCTTCTCCAATACATTACCTTCTGTCTGCTGACTGACACTAGCACTATGTAGTAAGTCTAGACTGACAGGATGGACTGTTGCTAATGACACCATTCACTCCTTTCAAATGCCAGCTAATCAGGTACACAATCCTGACTGTTTTTGGAAAACCTACAATCAACACCTCAAAAAACTACAGCTCAATTTTTCAAGATTGACTGCCTGCCTTAGGTGCTGCTAAGGAGCCCATGCAAAAATCTCCCCGACCCTGTAGGTCTTTGCATATGATACCCTTAGCAGCTATACTGGCGTTTGTTAGCGCTACATTGGTGTCTGGTTGGCTGAGACAGTTCCCACCAGTTAGCTCAGTGGAGTGTGGAGAGGTGGAAGATATGTTGGAGCGTAGGACGGTGGGATGGTACAGTACTGGGGGTAGGTAGGGGGAGCCCAGGGATCACCACACCACACCACGGTAGATTGGGTAGGTGGTGGGAAAAGAGAGGTGAAGGGACAGATGATTGGGGCTGCATTCCTGCAGTGACAGTAAAGATCACACTACACTTTTGCTCACAATTTTTTGTGTGTAGGTTAGATCACTGGAACGAGTCACTACGAGGTTTGAATAACCCGAGGGGGAGGGGTGAGAATGACGCAATAGTGACCGAGGCGGAGTGATTTCTTAGCACACGTAGAGCTAGTAAATCTCATGGGTCAAATCAGGTACAACTGAACTCTCAACATGCGCGCACAGCTAAAATGAGGATACAAAAATAGGAAAGAAAGAACAGGAAGTGACGTCACGTACAACCCATACAATATACACGATCTACTACAATTTCCTAGGTCGCTGGATGTCCCAGCCTCAAGAGAGATAGAGAGATAGAGAGATTACAGGCTGTCATTTTTGTTCGGCATGTGAGCTCTGCGCACTAACTACAGTATATACATACGTAGCATCCACCACATCCACTAACGGCAAAACTACTGTGTGACATTATGAATGTGATTATGCTAACTCAATTTGTTCCGTTAAAGGCGTGTAATTATCCATTAATTATTTCCCATTTACGAGTATCGTACATCACTTTCTACACCCCTTACTCTCTCTCTCTCTCTCTCTCCTTTCTCCACCCCTCTGTAGGTGATCTCCACTGCTCCAAACCTGTTCCCGGTGTCCCTAGCAGCCCCACTGGTCTCCATAGTCTTGTATGACTGTGATCCTCTGGACAACTTTACCTGGTCTGCCATTGCCACACTCTGTGAACTAGGTATATACAGGTATCTCTCTGACCATAGTGGGCAGTGGTCTCGTGACCAGGCCTTCTGTATGATCTTATGTATGTATAACATCATCCTCCAGTATGCTTGAGAAACACTCCAAATTGTATGGGGTCCCATAAATTAGTAGTATTGTGACCCTTTTGTTTTGCTGGTTACACCTTTGTCTGTTACCATTTTCACCAAATGCACATGTTTACACAGGTTGCATGGAGTAGAGAGTCCATGCACGTACAACGATACAAGTGTATGCACACCATAAGAAGAGATCAAACAAAAAACCAAGAACTCATGGGAATCGTGTTGTTCTCCAGGTGACAAAAGTCTACTGATGTCTGAAAAGTATTACAAAACTGTGTATAGCTAATTGTATATGTTACAATTATCGACCAGTCCCTTACAGCTTTGAGATTGCAAAATATCTTCAGTTGGTAGTGGTTTAGGTGACTGCTCATATCTATACTTCTGCCTCTCAAACTAGATATAGCAGAAACTATACAACTGCCCTGTTGTTCTGTATTTACATAAACAAAACAGCAAAAACATCTGTCGCTAACCTTGCTGGCAAATTTTGCATTTAGGTGAATGGTGGAACAAGCGCAGTCAATAAAGTTCCTAAGATTTTGCTGGTTGAACAGCAAATGAAGAATAGTGCTCGCAAAGCACATATTGTCCCATCGTCTGACTTTCGTGCTGCAGCTGCTCGTACGCGCGTGCGCGTGGGAGCCCCGGCCGCCGTGCCCAGACCCCGCCCTCTCTCTCGAGTCTGGTCCGGTCCTGGTATATAATAAAAGCTGCAGGCTAGCTCTCTCTGCAGCGAGACTTCCCACGAGCGTCAGGAGAAGACAGTGGTTCCATAATGGCGGAGTTTTTGCGGACTCGATCGTCTACTTCATCGTCCATAGGCTCAGTGGCTCTGCAAGAGAGCGGCTACAAGGTGAGCCAGGAAATGCCCACTACGCTTCATATCCTGCTTCTCTCTCTCTCTCTCTCTCTCTCTCCCTGGGACGATAGAAACTCTGTATCTTCGTCAATAGGGCATGGGACCTCCCAAAAGGAGACACGTTTGGACTGAGGTCAGTGTAAAAGGCCTTTGCTGAGCCTCACTGGTATATACATGCCACTCTGTTACAGTGACCCGTATGTGAGGATCAGTGTGGTGGGAGGAGAGCATGCAGGACCAGGAGTCAAAAAGACCTCAGTCGTAAAGAAGGTAAAGTACTGTATATACCCACAGTTCAGGAGAGGAATTTTGCTGCGTCTGCAAATTCATTGCAAATTTGAACTTCCTGTCGTGGTGGTAATTTCTGCATTTGGGAGCAGGCATTTAGTTTGGGAGCAGCATATTATGATGACTTAGCTACAGCAGCACCCTCTTCTCCCCTTCCTTCCTTCCTATCTGTCTGTCTGTCTGTCTGTCTGTATCTCTATCTCAGTCCCTGGACCCAGTGTGGGCTGAGCTGCTTCATTTTTGGGTAAGTCCCTCACTTCCTCTCCCTGGCCACTGACCTGTGACTTGCTGCCCTCTCAGGTCAGGGGAGATGCATTCAGTGTCATAGTAGATGTCTTTGACGAGAACAAGTTGGTGAGTGTGTTTCAATGCCAGCCGTCTCTGTGGTTGATGTTTTGGGTCTTGTTCACAGATCAAGGATGACTTCCTCGGGAGACAAATGCTCCATTTTGACTTCACCAACGAGAGCAGGAGACCTCCTGTGGTACGTAGCTCATTTTTGCTGCGGATATTAGACAATAGCTACAGTTTTTTGTTGTGTTGACCTAATCACAAAACTCGAACGTTGAAATGTCTATCTATCTGTGTGAATGCAATAATACTATGTCCACCTTCTATTTACCCACCCTCGCTCCCTTCTTCCCCATTCTCTGTGGCAATGTATGAGACAAAACCAAGAGTCTTTTATAGAGAGGTGTCCTTTATCTTCCGTAGGTCCAGTCCCTCGAAGGTCGCAGGGTCCAAGATGTTGGTCGCACCGTCACTCTGAAACTGAAAAACAAATACGCAGCGGAACTTCTGGACGGGTATGTGAGCAGTATATCTCGTTGCTGATGATGTAATCATTGCATCACCCTCCAGTCAGTACCGTCCGTACCTGAAGGACTTGCGTTCCCAGTTTTTCCTGAAGCGATTGCACAGACACCGCTGGGCGGGAAACTATCGAGGAAGGCTCAATCTCTCCTTCATCTTCCTCGACCCCAGCGACGATTTCGAACACCTTCAGTTGCCGGGGATAACTGAGACCACGCCCACCCATACCTCGGGTGGAGAGGGCGTGGCTACGGAGCAGGAGGCAGAGTCAGAGGTGGAGCTACCACCTGGTTGGGAGGAACGGACTGTGAGTTAGCAACACTTCAGATGGAAAACAGGCTGAGGCTATTTTGAAGAGGCATGAGGAATAATGATGTGTGGAGTAGAAATTCTCCTAAAGTGAACTCCCAAAATGTGTTAAAAGTCTAAAAGGGAGTGAGTTTGCAAAGAAAAGATGGTTTTTACCCAATGCCAGCTGGAATTGCTGTCCTTCTTGTCTATCTCGACTCAGGATACCAATGGTCGCAGGTTTTATATCAACCACCTAACTAGAGTGACGTCCCTACGGCGGCGACCAGTGGGCGGGGCTTCCACTCCTGAGACCACACCCACCCCACAAGCTCCGCAGAGGAGAGCATTCATGGCGAGACATACCAGTATTGATGTGAGCTGTTGTCCACCAAACAATGCAGTGCTGCATACATACATACATGCTCACAATAAGCTAGCTAGCATTTACATATATACTCATCTGTCTGTGTGTAGGTGATAGATGAAAATACAGCAGAAGAGGAAGAAGAGATTCCTGTTGTAGAAACAGTAAGACTGTGACTCTTCTAAAACCTCACTTCACCTCCTCTCCTCCCCACACAGCCACCTCAGCCGGAGGAAGGCTCAAATCTACACACCCTGGACAGCATCTCCCTTGACACACACCCTCATCCCCCCTCCCCCTCCCCTTCTCATCCCTCTCTCGCCACAGCGGCTGACTCCACCCCTCTGCAGCCTTCTGCCCCACCCCTTAATTTGACCCCACCCACTGCCCCTCAAACCACACCCACTGTTCGCCAGACTGCACCTCAAACTACTCTCCTAACTGTTGTTCCACAAGCCACACCCACCCCTGTGCCTCAGGCCACACGCCCTGCAGTCGTGCCTCGAGCCACACCCACTCCAGCTCATCTGGCCATGCCAACAACTTTCAAATTGGTCGGTTCTCTCCGTCCTCTTCCCAGTCTGAGTGTACACATCAGTATGTAGGTGATAGGATTACATTGTTCCTTTGTTTTGCGAATTCTAACCGGCTGCACTTTGAAACGTGTTTCCTGAGTTTCATTATTTGTGTTATTTGCACTTGTTTTGCTTTCATACCTTACTTACGTTTTCCATCTTCACACTGGGCTCTCTCTCCCTCCCTCCAGGCCCGTGTCCCAATGGGGGCCAGTCCGCACCATTCTCTGGCGATCCAGAGAGCTGCACATGGTCTGCCTCAGGGCTGGCAGGCAGGAATGACTTCAGACGGCAGAGTCTACTACATCAACCACATTCATAAGACCACCACGTGGGAGAAACCGAGGCTCCAGGAGAGACATATTGTACCAGTCGCTACGAGAACTGCTCAGCCTGTCGCAGTGGAACAGGTTAGTCGGAAAGAGAAGCACTACCACAATATTATAGCTAGTTGTTGGTAACAAGCAAATGATGATGTGACATGAGTAGGTGTACATATTTTTGCCATAGAATTCCAATCTTGGTGGAAAAAATAAGCTGCATTATGTGACGGAGAATGATACGAAAAAACAACTGTGAATTGCTCAATCAATTTCTTTTCCGAGAGAACAGTTCGGTTTGCAGGCGTGCTAAAATTTCATACAATCTGCAAAGTTCGTGAGATGTACACTTGTCATGAAGGTGTATGATATCTTGTAGGACTCCAGTCTGCCTGAGGGGTGGGAGGAGAGGAGGACCGGTGAGGGGCGGGTTTACTACGTGGACCACAACACCCAGACCACCTCCTGGGACCACCCCAACTCCAAGAAAGAAGACCTCCTCGGACCCATGCCTGCTAGATGGGAGATGAAACAGATGGCAGACGGCCGACTCTTCTTCGTGGACCACAGTGAGTTACACTCCATGTCGAGATCAGTTTCTTTAACAGCTTGCGACCTTAATTTTCACTATTGTGAAATTTGAAGTATTGGATGTTGAAATTTTTACCACAATAATGTTGTAAGTAGTCATTTCTCCATGACTCCAGACACCAATTCCACTCAGTGGGAAGATCCTCGTCTCACTGCCAAGAACAAACCAACGGAGGTAAGCCACACCCACCGGCCACACCCACTGGCACGATCTAATCATGTCCTCCAACAGAAAATGAAGTATTCTCGTGACTACAAACAGAAGTATTCCAATTTCAGATTCGGACTCCCAAAAACCAAGGTACAGGGAGTCCTCTCTTTGCAGATGAAGTGAAATTGTGTCAGAAGCTAAACTTCTGTCTGAGTTACCTTGTACCCCCATGTACAGGTCCTATTTACCCACAAAAAATTTGGAGAAGTTAATCACCTCTTTTCTTTCTGTCTTTTCTCTCTCCTCCTCCTCTAGCCCAGAGCCCCCAACATCCTGGAGCTCCCAATTCGCCGTGAGCATGTCTTTGAGGACAGTTTCCGAGCGGTGACAAACGTGAGGCCCCTCACTAACTTCCACTCCAGACTCTACGTCAGGTTTGCTGGGGAGTCTGGTCTGGACTATGGCGGACTGGCCCGCGAGTGGTTCTTCCTTCTTTCCCACGAGATGTTCAGTCCATACTATGGTCTCTTTGAGTATGCCGCCAGGTTAGACAAACTCCTGCCTTTAGTCACTGTGCGTCTCTTTTTGCCTGGAGTGAGTGTGTAGGAAGGAAGAGAAAATCCAGCCTTTAGTAAGGAAGAAGTAGTGTACCGGTCTTCAAGTCACTATAATGCCTGGGTGTGATTCCTGACTGTAACTGAGAGATCGCTGCCCCTCTCTCCCCCTCCCTCCCTCCCTATAGTGATGACTACACCCTGCAGATCAGTCCAGAGTCTGGCATATACAATGAACACCACATCGACTACTTCAAGTTTGTTGGTCGTATGCTTGGCCTCGCCATCTACCACCAGCACCTGCTAGATGGTACGTCCCACTCTCCATATCCCATACCAAATTCCACATTTCCCATTCCCAGCATTCTTCATTCGGCCGTTCTACAAGATGATTCTGGACAAACCAGTTACTCTGGACGACATGCAATCAGTTGTCAGTGATTAGACATACACCTTACATCAGTCTATGCACCTTACAATACAGTCACTCTTGGTCTATAATGGACACTGCTATGTAGTCACATGACCAGTCACATGATCCCCACAGGACGAGGAGCTGTACAACAGTGTCCAGTATGTCTTGGAGAATGATCCGGAGCCCCTGTGTCTCACATTCTCCGCCAACAAGACCGTATTTGGAGAGGTATATAGCCACACCCACCAATCTAGAGGTGTGTCACGATAGTTGACCTTTGACCAGGTAATTGAGGAGGAGCTAAAAGAAGGCGGGGCTGAAATTGCAGTCACCGAGTCCAATAAGAGAGAATACATCACGTAAGCTGTCTGCCGGTGTTCACTATTCCTCTTGGTTCATTGTAGGAACACTCACCTCACTTTGAGATCAGTTTCTTAACGAACATCTCTCACCTCCCTAGATTGCTCATAAAGTGGAGGTTCACTGACAGAGTCCAGAAACAGATGGATGCCATCAAACAAGTTAGTACACCTCCTTTGTGCCTGTATTTGTTGGGGGGGCGGGGGGGCGGGGGGCAGGGGGGTGGTGGAAATTTGCCCCCTAGCATCCCAAACAAGGGTCTAACATGTGTCAGAAACTGCCATCTGGGTCAGATTTCCCCCACTAAAAAGATTTCTATAAAACCTCTGCTCACTGCACCTCCTCCCCCAGGGAATTTCTGACATCTTTCCTCTGAGACTACTGAAGGTTTTTGATGCCAGAGAGGTAGAGGTAAGCTGGTCATGTGACTCATTACAAGGTCATGTGATTGTCACATGATTTTGTGTGTGTGTCCAGTATCTGCTGGGTGGGTTGGCATCCATTGACGTGGAGGACTGGAAAAAGAACACAGAACTCGTGGGATACACACAGTATGACCAGGTCATCGTCTGGTTCTGGAAGGTCAGAGTTCACTGGCCTATTATCACTCTAAACCTTGATCTCCCTCTCCTCGTGTTGTATAGGCTGTTGAGAACTATGATGCTGAGATGAGGGCACGTCTCCTGCAGTTTGTCACTGGAACTTCTAAAGTCCCAATGAATGGATTTGCAGAGCTACAAGGCAATACACCAACTAACTCCCCACATTACTGTATACATCTGACCTCACTGCAGGTAGCAATGGTCCGAGGAAGTTCTGTATCAAGAGATATGGCAGTCCCAATTCCCTCCCTCGATCCCACACCTGGTGAGACTCAGTTGTCTCAGTATGTGCAACTGCAGACTTGGCTGAGAACAGCCGAAGTCTTAAGCAACCACTGCAAAGTCCAAAACACAAACACACACATGCATGCATAAGTTATTTAGCCCCGTTTAAATGAACACTTAGAACCGGTTCGTAAACCGATTTAGCCTAAATTGGATTACGTGTAAACAGTCTAAACTGGGTTTACAAACCGGTTCAATTTGTTTCGCGGTGTAAACGGGGCTGTTGATATGCTGAGTCTGTGTTTCTGCTCAGTTTCAACAGAATCGACCTTCCTCCGTACGACTCTTACCACAAACTGAAGGAAAAGCTCAAAGTTGCAGTTGAGAACGCTGATGTTTTTGAGGGTGTAGACTGACATAATTATTTCGATAGTGAAACTTTAGACCTTCTATTTCTCCTTTGTGTGATGTGCAGTTGAATGGCAATTTTTTTACTTATAATTATAGCCCAGATGTAACATCAAATCGCTAGAAAAACATCTTGCTATGACCAAAAAAATGCACATTTAAAAACAAAAAAAAAAAAAATAATCATCGACTACTACATCGTATTCTGGCAGCTAGTGTAGTGGGTGTGGCAGTGGGTGTGGCTAGTCCGAGACCTCGATGATGAGGGGACACACAAACTCGGAGTGGCGGATGCCGAGGGAGTAAGCGGGTGCTTGTCGCTTGGTGACGTTACATCGCTCAGGACAGTGGGCCCCTGGGCCTGGCTTCTGTGTCGGATCTGAGAGGAGAGACAATAACAATTATATACATGATATAGATTACATTCCTTTGGTTGTGATAATTAGATTTAGTGGGTGTGGTGTGTATTCATATGTGTGGGAGTGGACCATAGCAACCGCTTGTTCAGGTCTTAACGCTCCAAAACAAGTTATCTGAACCCCAATAGCCCATAAAACATCTCTTCGTGTAGAATAATTGTAGTATACATACCTCCAGGCATGAACTGGCGAGCCTGAATGGAATAGGACGGTCTCCTCGGCTGAGTAAGTTCAGCTGACACCGAGTCGTAGCGTGCAGGTCCTGGGGTCTTGGCGTAGTCGGCGGCAAAGTCTCCAGCCTTCAGTCGTTTGGCCATGCTGTAGCAGGCCGAGCTGGGTTTGTAGGGGACCCTCTCTCCCAGCAGGGTGGGCAGCGTGTAGGTGTTGGGGGAAGGGTTGGCATCCCCTGTGGGACGATGGAGGAAAGTTTCGAGCTATATTATTATAATTATACATAGACGACTGACACTGAACCACGTAGATTATAAGTGAGCTTCCACTGAGCTCTAGGGCTTACTTTTTCGGTAGCGGGTGCGAGCTGCCATGCTGTAGGCCGGCATCTTCTTTTCTCCCTGGAAGCAAGTCTGGCTCTGCTCCGGCCTGTAGGCTCCTGGACCCGGGGTCTTGAATGCCGTCAGCTCCTATATAATATATGCAGACACCGAACCTGAAATTCGCGGCAGTAGACGATACCGACGAACCTTGTGTCGGGCGTAGAGAGAGTAAGAAGGGACGCCCTCTCTGCCGTACCGGGTAAAGGATGGATCCACGTTGTGCACCGGGCCTGGGCTGCAGTCTGGGGCAATAACTGCAGCCAAAAACAACACTTAGTCAACTGAAGTAGCGACAGTCTGAGTTGCTTACATCCTCCTCCCACTTTCCTGCCGAAGGAATAGGCAGGGAAAATTTTTTTCGTCGGCGAGTGCCCCTCGCGGCCAGTCAGCGACGGTAGTGCGTACCGACTAGGCCCCGGGCCTGCACGGTGCAGTGTGTGAGCTGAGCATGCAGGGAGAGAAAGAGGTACAGTTTACCTCGCTCCATGGCGGCGATCTTTGGCCGGGGAGCCTGCGTGTCTACCCCTCCTGAACCAGTCATCTTGTCGTGTTTTGCGAGCTGGAGCTCTAGCTAGCTAGCTTATATAGTCAACTACTCAGCCCCTCCCCTCTTTTTGTCAGGGAAAAGCAACGATTCTAAAACAGCTGTAGCTACTGTTTGCTAAGTCGTAGGACATGAAAAAAGACGGCCATGGCCGCATGCAAACCAGTACTGTGTGCGTGGTGTAGAATGAGAGTTGCTTGTTTATAGTTGCCTCAGGTGTTGTGTTGCTTAGCGACATCTGTGTATTTCACATGTACGCATGCGCATAAATAAAGCTGACTCGGCATAACACGTGCAAGGAGAAATGTTGAGGGTTAGCTCTCGTTCCGCCGTCGTTGTAAGTCATTTTGAGTGTGTTCCGATTAGTCTTACTCTCACTATACAACAGCGTTCCCTGCTGTCAGGGATCCGCCGTCAGAGCACTAAAGATGCAACTGTGGAAGATTGGACCATCAACCCTGTAACAGCACCCACTTTCCCTGCCCCTCCTCTATCATTCCTTTCTCTCTGATCTAGCTGGAGTTGGGAGAGGAGAATGTATCTCACATGTACTGTGTTCCCAGTGGAGACGTAAAGACAGTGTTCCCCACTAGCCTCCCTAGCCAGTTCTCAACTCAGGTCTCACGTCTCACTGACAGTTCTTGCTATAGCTAGCAGGGTCTTCTCTACTGCAGACCACCAGTATTGGTGAAATGTGCTGGATCCTCCGGAGACAGAGCTACCAGATGATGCAGGAGCTGAAAAGCTTTGACGCAACTCAACCACACAATTTCCGATACCTGCTCTGTATCCTCTCCCCCTTCCCCCGCTTGTTCCTCTCCCCCTTCCCCCGCTTGTTCCTCTCCCCCTTCCCCCGCTTGTTCCTCTCCCCCTTCCCCTGCTTGTTCCTCTCCCCCTTCCCCTGCTAGTTCCTCTCCCCCTTCCCCCGCTTGTTCCTCTCCCCCTTCCCCTGCTAGTTCCTCTCCCCCTTCCCCCGCTTGTTCCTCTCCCCCTTCCCCCGCTTGTTCCTCTCCCCCTTCCCCTGCTTGTTCCTCTCCCCCTTCCCCCGCTTGTTCCTCTCCCCCTTCCCCCGCTTGTTCCTCTCCCCCTTCCCCTGCTTGTTCCTCTCCTCCAGTTTTTTACCCAGCTATGTCGTGGGTTATTGGTCTTGACGGTTGGAAGATGGAGCTGATGGTTCAGGCAAGACAATCTGCCTGCACCAGGTCCTACACTACTGCGTCAAGGCTGGTTGGCTTGTGGTTTTTGTTCCTGGAGGTCTCTATTATATATATATACTGTGTGGACCCCTCATTTCATCCCATTCACTCATCCCTTTAGTTTTCTCCTGGACCCATTCTGACAGGGAACTGAGACCCTCCACTCGTGTGCCTGGAACATTTGACCAGCCGGACACTGCCACTGCTTGGCTCAAGGCCTTCAGAACACTGAACTCCCATTTCACTTCTCAGGTACTATGCAGTGTATGACTTTACTTGCTCAAAGAGCAGAGTCAATGAAAATGTTGAGAATGTAGCTTTCAATTGTGCAGAAAACGGTATATACTCTGTCCCCCCTTCTCTCCGTCTTTGGGCAGGTCCAGCTGTCCAGAGACTGGCAGTGGGGTAAAAAAGACCATAGTTTAGCTGGAGAAGAGATGAACAAAGTCATCGACATGGTGAGCGGCATGAACCAGTGTGTGGGTTCTGAGGTCAAGTTTTTGATTGATATCAGGGTTTGCTGAAACCAGCACTAGCTACTGATGTGGTTGTTGCTCTGCTAGAGGAGCTGGTCTTATCCAGCGGCAGGTGACACAGACAGAGCTAAGGGTGGAGATATATATTATAGTGTGGCCGTTGTTCAGGTTCAACATAATGTTGGCAGTGGATGAGTTCAATGGCAGTTTCAGTCCTACCACTCTCAGAAACCAGCAGAAAGAATGGGTATAAAATTATGTCCTTCTGATGCTAACCCCTCCCCCCCACACACACACGGGGAAGAGATGCGTGCATGGGGGAAGAGATGGGCGCATGGGGGAAGAGATGCGTGCATGGGGGAAGGGATGCACGCATGGGGGAAGGGATGCGCGCATGGGGGAAGGGATGCATGCATGGGGGAAGAGATGCGCACATGGGGAAAGGGGTGCGCGCATTGCGGAAGTGATGAGTGCATGGGGGAAGGGATGCATGCATGTATGGAACGCCAAATGCGTCAAAATTCAATCTGCTGTATATATAAGTGCGCTGATAGCTGTCTAAACGTCCTATTGAACGTTCAATAGGACGTTTGTCTAAATGTTTGTCTAAATGTTCATACTATGGACCAGAATGTTCACGTTCTTGCATTCGTATCGAATCCTTCGCGTTTTGGTGAACGCTCGCTTATTTGATCGTTTGTTTATGCGCATGCGCATAGGGGACAAAGCACGTGCCTCGCGGGCTTTCGATGGGGAAAGCGTTTGTCTAAACGTTCATACTATGGACCAGAACGTCATGCGCATAGGGGATAAAGCACGTGCATGCAAGATGGCCAACGACTAACACTTTTCCCTTCGAAAGTCCGGAAGGCCCACGAGGCACGTGCTTTGTCCCCATAGCTGTCTAAACGTCCTATTGAACGTTCACGTTCAATAGGACGTTTAGACAGCTATCAGCGCACTTATACAGCAGACTGAATTTTGACGCATTTGGCGTTCCATACGCATGGGGGAAGAGATGCGTGCATGGGGGGAGAGATGCGTGCATGGGGGAAGAGATGGGCACATGGGGGAAGAGATGGGCACATGGGGGAAGAGATGGGCACATGGGGGAAGAGATGGGCACATGGGGGAAGAGATGGGCACATGGGGGAAGAGATGCACGCATGGGGGAAGATATGCGCGATGGGGGCTCATAACGGGGAAGGCATGAGTTCTGAGGCTACCTCCCCATGAACACATGCACACACACAATGGCAGGTGGGTCCTGAGCAGCTCAATCTCATCAGGTGTCTTCTGCAGCACATTCCTCAGGTCAGTTATGGTGGAGATCCCACTCACCAGTTCACATCACAGTTTCACACTAAAAAGTTACGTTTAGGAAATTTGATGTTGATCACTGTGCAGTTCCCAGGAGCTGTGTTATTGTCTCTGTCACGATCTCGGATGCTGCGTTGCTCGGCGCCTGGCTGGACACCAGATCATCTACTGAACGGAGGAACGGTCCCCAACGAGAGGAAATTGGAGTCCCGAGCCATTCTGGACTCTTGCAGAGCTGTGGAAATTCCTCCTTACACCAGACAGGAGATGGAGAGGTGTCTCGACTACTATTCCCAGAGAAGATGGATTACTACTGGTGACTCTCTTGTCCATTCCTCTCCCTGTGTAGCTATATATAGTTCATTTTCTCTCTTCCTGCACTCTGCTACCTATATAGTCAAAGCAGCATGTTCTTGAATTCAGACTGAGCATAATAGTGCCATGACATCGAACAAATTTTACATGGTCACTCTCCATTTCCAGACGTGAGCCAGGCTGTACTGAATGAACTGTGGCACCTCACATCTGGATGTCCAAAAACTCTACAAAGAATGTGTGCCAGTCTCTAATGTTGTATATTATTATACATTGTTAACCTTGCGCGCATGCGTGATCGCACTATCGCGACGGAAAAACGCTGCGGACCCGTCGCAATTGCTCGGCCGAAGATGTGGCTGGTGGTGTGCCTGGTGGCTGTGTGCAGTCTACACTGCGGGCAGGGTTTGCTACCGCTAAACTTGCAAGCGGACGAGGTTCTCGTAGCGGCTAACGTCGAATGCGGTGACGGCGAACAATACACCGTGTGTCCGAGTGAACCGGAATGCCTGCGGACTTGTGGCGAGAAGGGAGGCATTCCACATGGAGCAGAGCTCTCTGTGGACGGAGATAGAGCTACGAGTTGGCAGAGTCCAACCCAACAGTTTTACAGCTCCGCGGGGGACACGGTCCCTGCAGCGAGGCTTACCATCGACCTGGGGCAGGCGAGTTATCTTCTTGTTTCCAGCCCTGCAGAAAACTTGTCCTCTGTTATTTCAGGCAGTGCATGTGGCAGAGGTTAGAGTATGGTCTGGAGAAGGAAGATTGCCATCCAGTACAACACTGTCTGGTTCATTAGATGGACAAGAGTTTATCGTACTTTCTTCCAGTCTCCCATTTGGACAGGACTTGGTGAGCTTTTGAGGTCTCATGCGAGCATTAAAAATATTCAGTTTACTATGTATAGGTGGTGTTGTCTGTACTGAATGTGACCAGTGAACACCAACAACTGACCACTGACCAGAAGGTGGGTGAGACAGCAAGAATGCAGGGAGCTTGAGCTCTCCCGCAGTGCAATAGAAGCCATGATGAGCTGCTGGTGCAGCCCAGACCATCTGTTGCCAGTGGGCCTGGAGAATATCTCCTTACCAGGGAGCTAGTTTCCATGGCTGGCTCCAGCTGAGTTGTGTGACGTCAGTAGTACAGTGTAATGCTGCCTCTGGTTTGGCAGGGCTCCATGGGGCTGAAGGGCTGCATGCAGTGTGGGCAGTGGGGATGTAAACATGAGGTGTGAGTGTCAGACTTCACTCTCTGTCTGCTGGGATTTCTGGTCAATTCCACATTCCTCTACAGCCACAAGACTCAGTCCTTACCTCAGTGGGGGTGTTTATTGAAAAATGAAAACGGTTGCTTTAGAACTTTGAGGATAGTCTCTTGCACTGACTGAAATTTGTGTTCACAGTTTTCGCCTAATGCTTTCGGCATGATTTTGGAATATTATGTACACTTGGGGCACTAGTTTCTCAGTTGAAGTAATACGTTATAAAAAGAATATGGCTGCTTCTCCTTCCTTCCAGGCAATGAGTTTAATGCAGTACCTGCAGATAGAACTGCAGCCTCCATTGGCACCCATACTACCCACAGACATCCGCTCTGCCTTCTACTCAGTTGGGGAGGTTGAGATTATGGGCATATGTCCTCGCATCACCGATCCTCCACTACTGTGCTATGGTGAGTGTCTTTAGCTTGGCTGCAAACTAAACTTCATCTGTTTCTCTCTCTTGATCTCAAGGAGATCCGGTGAAACGTCGCACACTAGTCACCCTCCAAGACCCTGGCCTGCATCGCTTGCTTTGGCAACGATCTAACCAATCAGATCTGTGGGTTATGGACGACGTAATGCTCATTGTGGAGGAGTGTCCAATCAATGATGAATGGTGTCGGTTTGGGAGAGCGAGGGAAGATTTCAATGGAACACTCAAGTATACCATGTTGTTGGTAGTTATAATATAGTCAAATTTTCAATCTTCCATTTTCCCATGCAGTCCCCTCTTATGGGACGGAGACTCATTTCCTATCTCTTCACTGATCGGCCCTTATTCCTGCCCTGACCTTCGTGACCCCTCACTCTTTATTTCCCCCGGGGACCAAATAATCTCGCGACCCCTCCTGGAGGCCGCTGTAGCTGTGATATTTGGTGCCGAGTTCCCCTATCCAACTCCACTGTGTAGACCAGGTTCTGAGTATTCTCCAGCGGAGCTACGGCAGTGCCGCTCAATCGAAGGAGTGCTGGGGGAGTGTGTACTAATTGCACTGGTTTCCGCATCAGGTGACAGTCATGTGCTTGTTGACAATGATCACATGACCAAAATTCAATCGTAGATTGTGGGAATTGCCTAGACCAGTTGACATTTCAGCTACGCTACTTGCAAGAGGGACTTGACTCTGCGTTCTTTCCTGCTAACGTGACAATTCTATCTGTTCTCCATGATGACATTCACTCTACTCTTGTGAGCACTTTACTAGGTGGTGATAAAGTTTGCTGTTATTGTCTGGTGTAGGATGCCTTGGAGCAACTTGGGGGTTTGCTAGTGGTGCTTGAAGTGGGGATTGGTACCCTGCCTTCCCTGCCTCCCTCCTCCCTCCCTCTGCCTCTCACTGTCCCTCGACTGGACCTGGAGTTAGTGCCTAGCATCCTCAGCAAACTGGACCAGCTCAAAGATCTCTTGACAGGGACACCAACCATCAATGGTAAACACTTTTCCTTTCGAATCTCCACTAAACTGATCCTTACTATGTCTCCCAGTGATCTCAAGAGATGACCTCATTCTCTTCTTCTCTGAGACAAGGATCAGACTTGTGGCTCTTCTTGAAGAGGCCAACCAGTTACGCTCCCAACAGAGAGGTAGTATCAGCTCTCACTGACTGAGGGTGAAGAATACTGTCTTCCCTCTTAGGTCTGTCATCTCAAGTGGCAGTTTTGCTGAGAGCTCTATCCGAGAGGTCTGGGGATGTGTCTTCTGCCAGAGAAACTGTTGAGATGATTGCAGCATTGATTGCCAGAAGACAGAACTCCAGTATAGTCGTCAGAGTAGAGGATGTATCTGCTGAAGTCCGTCTGCTGCTAGAAATGGCCAATCGGTTAATGGGTCAGGCCCAGAGTAATGCTCAGGTTGGCCAGAATCTGACGAGTAGACTGAATGGTGTTGGCAGTGGACTGATGGCTGCTGGGAGTGTGGTGGCTGGCACACTGCGTGTAGCCAGTGAGGCAATAAGTATTGCACGTGACTCTGCAGCAGTGGAAGAAATTCTGACTGTGAGTCGATCACACTGCTTTTAATAGTTTCCCGCCTTCACTCCTCCTGCACCAAATGCAGGCTTTGCTGGGAGAAGCCAGAGAAGGGCTGAGTGATGGAGAAGAAGCTCTCTCCAGTGGCGAAGCATCTGTGATAAATGGAGGACAGCTGCTCAATGAGGCCAGGGGTCTCATTCAGGTACATGTCGTCTTCCCTCGGTGTTCAGCCCAATCAGGCAACCTTGATTACACAGAACACCGGGGGTACTGTCCCTGCAATTACAGTCCTGATTGACCAGTTAAACCAGACAGTCCAGTTTGACCGACCTCGTCTGACTGACCTTCTGACCTTCACCTGTTCTTCTGGACGAGACAACTGTACTGGAGGAGAGGAGCATGCAGCATTGCTGGCTCAGAACCTCACATATCTCATCAAGTCAGGGTCACACAAGGGTTAACTCTTGCTAACCATTCTCTTTGTCCCCATTCAGTTCCAGTGTCTCAGTCTACACCATACGTCCGGCAAGGGACACACTGACTGCCTTGGGAGGCACGGGGATGCCCTTGGATCTCACACTCATTAACAACACAGCTATGCTGGCACAGGAGAGAGCTCAAGAGGCAACTGCTCTGTTGGCTGGAGTAAATAGCACACTAGGGGGTGTGGTCTCCGTCTTGCTGTCGTCAGCAGGACAACTGAGAGGAAGAGCACTCGTTTCCCTCACTGCCAGCGAAGGTCAGTGCAATATTCAATAGCCATAAACCCCCATTTCATAACTTCAGGAATTGTGGAAACTTATGAATTGACATTTTTATGCACACTCTGTGCTTGAGTTTGCAAAAAAGACTTAATATTTTTCACATGATGTGTAGATTTGTCAGTGGCTGTTGACAAGGCTGGAGGGAGAAGGAAGGACCTGATGTCAGCTCTCGGTGAGTACCAGAGAGAGGTTGCTGGTCTGTCAGAGAGACTGGAAACCCTGAGTTCACTGGAGGATGTCAGAGACGAGGCCTCACTGGTGGCAGAGAGAGCAAGCGCGAGTGCTGAGGAGGTGAGGAGAGCAGGAGAGAGGGTGAGGAGGGTGAGGGAAGGTGGGGAGAGGGTGGAAGATGACATCGACCAGATCACAGTCAACGTTCAGGCAGCAGAAGCCACAATTCAGGATACCCTGCAGAGATGTCAGTAGATGATACATCTGTTTCTGTTTCTTGGTGAATAAATTGACTGTCTCCTAACAGTTCCGTTGGTGTCTCGTCTTCTTGCTGCAACACAGAGACAAGCAGACGCTGCAATCTCTAATGTCACTGGTTTCCTTAGTGAGAACGAGAAGATTGTGGCTGACATTGACTCACTCATTGCCCAGCTCTCCGACGTGCATGCCAGCATTGCCTTGGTTTGTTAGCTCCTTTCCTACTAACATTCTCTTTAACTAAACATTTTCTCTTCCACCACTAGATCAACTCTCCTGTACGGTTATCCTCAGAGCCAGCAGTAACTGCCGATGTTGCTGTGCCATACCTCTCTCTCCAGCCTCCGCCTGGTAGACAACTTGAAGGCGGAGTCCAGTTTGAGGACCTTGACCTGTACATGTGGCCATCTGCGCAGTACCAGACCCCGAGTCTCATTTTCTATGCTGGTCCTGTCCGATTCCCAGACCAGCGGAATGAAACCCAACCAGACACCAGAGAGGTCTGTCACTAACGTTCCTCATTGAGTTCTATTCGCTGTCCCTTTCAGGATGTGGTGTGGGTTATCGCTGAGGAAGACCACTTGAGACTTGGCTGGGAGCTGGGAAACTACCACGGCAACGCAACGCACCCTGCTCTGTTGGAGGGAGAGAGCCAGCTGCGGTTGACAAGGTGAGTCAGTCTGACAACCCATCTGGTCTCCTCATGTCCTCCTCCTCACCTTCCTCCAGAGTTGGTTCTCAGTTCAGACTGCAGTTCTCTCCATCCCCTTTGCCAACTCTACAAACATCGTCTGTCGTCAACAATTCCCTTCTCTTCCATTCCTCTCCACGTACAGCCTTTCTCCTTGGAGGATGGCCCACAGGGTCAGAGGTGAGAGGGTTAATGCGTCAACCAATCAGGTCTTCAGTTTCCTCTGCCACAGTTGGGGTCAGAGATGATGCCTCTTCCCCTGGGGTCCCTGGGTGGGTTTGAAGGACAGTTCCAGCTGGCTCTCTTCAATGGAGGACCCTGGGGCCTCTGGAATGTGCGCAGCACTTCACAGACTGACCTCATTGGAGACATGGAGTTTCGCAGGTATACTAGTTTGGCAAGCAAACATGGATGCACATTTTTGTACGTACTTAGTATACTGACAGCACTGCCTAAATAGACGGCTGGGCTGTCTCAATTTGTTCGTATCAATTTGCTCGCCAGTAAAGGTGCAGTACAGTTTAGTGCCATATTGCTCTAATTATGCAGTTTTTGAACTTGTATATACTTAACCAAGACTAAAAGGACTTTCATTTTAGTGCCATAATAGCTAATAAGAATATTTGTCCGTGTTAAAGCTTGCCGACCTTCGCCTCTGCTTTCTTCTCCCACTTTTTAGGAATGAGCTAAGCCAAGGAGTGGCCTGGCATGCCTCCACAGGCCTTACAAGAACTGCCTCTGTTCTCTCATTTGATGGTTTGGGCTACCTGTTCACTGAGAGGTTTGGGACAGAGCCAGAGTTCGGAGCCTCCTTCTTCCAGATAATAACTCTCTACCTGAGACCAAATGATGCCAGCAGGGGCTTGGTTATGTATGCCTACCAGACGGAGGTATATACTGTCACCATGTGACAGACATTTGATGGTGATTTGATCCACAGATATCATTGTCACTGGAGGTTGCCTTCAGAGATGGTCAGTTGAATGTGTTAGTGTGTCTCCATGAGGGCCCCATTCCTCAACCACTGGTCAACCACACCGAACTCGCCTCTCTCTCTGGGAATGGGTAAGTCCCTAGTGTGAATCACCACGGAATTGAGCTACTTAGCAGGGAGGCGGAGGTTCAGGTTCGATATGTACCGGGGAACAGGAGGTACACAATCAACGGAGAGGACTACAACTTGCCCAGTTCAACTGCCAGGTTCTTCACGAACCTACAGCAAGTGAAAGCCTGGTTTGGAGGAGTGAGGGAAGACCTGATGCAAAGGTGAGCCTTCCTCACAAGCAGCTGCTGTAGCCAATTGTCGGTGGGTCTTCTCCTCAGTACATACACACCCCACGAGATGACTGGCTATTTTGGCTGTCTGGACATGACTGTGCAGAAGGTTTTCACGGTGTTTGAAATCTTTAGAGGCTCCAGTTTCACAAAGTACTACCTCAACAGCCCTCTCCAGTCAAGGCTCTCTGCCACCTGCTATGCCACTGTTAGTGTTCCATATCATTACAACTACAGCCCCTATCTCTTGCCCACAGGTCTATGTTCGTGAAGTCAGTTTCTCTGCGGAGGCTGAGGCGTTGGCATACACATACCTACCTCTCTCCTCTGACTGTGCTCCCACACTTCCCCTCTCACTCTCCCTCTCTCTGCTGCCTCTGGATGGAGAAGGAGTGGTCCTAGCAGCCAGTGACCAGGTGCTGTACTCAGAGCTCAGAATGATGACTGTGTCCCTATTGAACTACCTCCACTCTGCAGGAGAGTAGTGTGCTGGTGGTACTGGAGTCTGGCCAAATCAGAGTCACAGTCTCCACTGGAACTGATTCTATCTCCCTTTCCTCTCAAGAACAACTAGAGCTGGGAATTTGGCACTACATCCATGTCAGCCTCACATCTTTCCCGTCTCAGTGAGTCGCACACCCAAAACTTCTCCTCTATCTCATACATTCTTCTTTAACCCCAGGGAGCTTCAGCTCTTTGTGAACGGCATTCTCCACCATGCAATTCCTCTCTCACTGACAAGCTTCTCTCTCGACTTGCCAACCTCAGCCCCAGTGGGTGTGGCTGACCCCACACCAGTACTGTTCCTGGGCCAAGTCACACAAGACTTTAATCGGAGCAGCAACCTCCCTTCATTCACTGGCTGTATGAGGGACCTAACCATTGACCTCTGGTAAAAGCACACTGTGGCAAGTGCAATTTTTTGTCAGTTTCTGCAAGTTCAACTTTTGACTTTCTCTGCGAGTATACCATGATAGATGTGTCTAGACATTTAAAAGTAGACTCTTGGTCTTCCCTTCCCCCTACAGCCCCGTCAGTTTTCAGTCGCGGTCGCTAGTGGACTCCTACCCCCCGGGGGTGACCTACCACTCCTGCCCATCAGCACCTAGAGCAGTACCGGAATTGCCGGTCCAGCCTGAGCCTCCTCAACAGAGGGTGTGTCTGGAGGCAGAACCAGTTGAACTACGCTCCACCCATGGAGGATTTAGCCGTGACACAAGTTTGGAAACCAGCAGTGTAGCAGGCCTCTTTGGCAGGCAAGCACCCTCCTATACTCATGTGCTCTTTAGCGTAGTGAATGTTCTCTAGTGAATGGATACTGACCTTAGCACTGCGGCAGCGGAGGGCAGGTCACGTGGTAACAGTGAGAAGTGTCTCTGGAGCCACAGTCAAGGTGGAGGTGGTGGAGGAAGGGAGACTAGCTCTCACTCTCATCTCTGATAGTGGAACAACAGCATCCTCTACTACTAGTCCTCTTCCCCATGATATCTTCACTCCATTGGTGAGTCACAGATCTTGGGAGCAGTGTGTACTGCAACAGCCCTGAACTCAGGGTATTTATAGTGCATTGAAACCTCATGACAACCACAACAATAAACTTGAATCTGACACAACTTGTTTGCAACAATACATGTCATATCTTTGTCTCAACAGACGGTTAGCTGTTCAGTGGTCCCCCCTGCCATCCTTTGCAACCTAACAGTGGCTGGTCTGCCTCTCTCAGTGGCAGCTGAGGCTTCATTCACTAGCTCTGTGTTTGACCCCGCAATTCCCATCAGTCTTGGAATGACACAAGACAACCTGGGAAACTCAGTAGGTCTAATGGCTTGGGAAAGAGGAAATCCCGTATATCTACTATGCACCACCCCTTCGCATTATCTCTACAATCTACAGGTAGAAGGGTTTGAGGGTTGCATCAGTGATCTCGCAATCAATGGAGACATGACTGGGTTCCAGTGAGTCATTCTCTCCACATTCATTTTGCCTGCACGCCTATCTGTGTATATACCTCCCTCACAGAGGAGTGGTGACTGACATTCCTTGTTACAATCAGACAGTGCCTGGACTGGGGTTCACAGGCATCTCCAGAATCAGTGGGTCTCTGATGCTCTCTCAACATGCCAGTTTCCCCGTCATTTGTTACAGAACTCTCACTGCCGTCACCGGAGGAGGCAGGAGGAGACGTGAGGGTGGCTCTAACAGTGAGACCTCTGCTGGAGACGGGAGTCGTTCTGGTGCTGACATCGCCTCTTGCTCCCCAGCCAGTGCTTATAGTGGGACTGGTACAAGGAGAGGTGAGGGCCTCACTTGCAGACGTTCATGATTCAATAGCAAACAAGAATTTCACGAAGTAATATTTATGACCCACAATGAATGTCCTCTTCCCAAGTTGCTCGGTTCACAAACTGCGAAATTCTCGAGTCTTCTGCTATACAGCAACAGAGTAATGACTGTTACCCTATATCTTTTCCAGCTGCGAGTGTCTCGGCCATCTGGCGAGTATCTGACACTAGCCGAGGGACTGTGTGACCCAACCAATGAAATGGTGTTTGAGCTCTCTGTGAGCTACACAGCCGTCCAGCTCTCAGTGGCTCTCAGTGGTGGTGCTCCTGCTAACTACCCTCCTCCTCCCTCCCTGACTCAGTTTGGGGAGCTGGTGCTCACCATTGGCAATTTACCAGGTAAGTAGGTACACCGGATTTGTTGGTGTAGTTCTCCCACTATATTCTCTCCAGATACGCTACCAACTGAAGCAGATGTGTCTCTGCTGTTGGGCAGTGACATGCTGCCAGCAGCCCAGCCTGCAGGCTTGGTTGGCTGCGTCCTGTCTCACTCAGTGCAGAGCCAGCCCCTCAATCTAGCCTCTGTGACTCACGCAAACATTGTCAATGGCTTCTGTGTCGATAACTAGAATTCCTCTGTTGTCAATAGCTTAACCAGCAATAGTTATAAGATGATGATTTGTCACAAAATCTGAAGTTGTTGCACAGACTGAACCAAGCAATGAGTGCAAATAAAAGATGCTTACTAGTTCTCTCTGTGGTGCTCTTAGTAATCGTGTTTGCCGCCTATGTGTACTATAATAACTCTCGGCCTCGTGAAGAAATGCTGCTGTTGAACCCAAAAACTAGTCACAGTCTTACAGCACTAGTCGAGGAACCATCTTATGGAGTGAATGTAGAACCAGGTCAGGGGTTTATTCTAACAGATGAGTATGACGGGCAGCAGGGAGCAGGACTAGAGTCACTAGTCTCTCTTCAGGTAAGCCCATAATACATTGCAAGAGTTGAAATTAGTCTGCTCACTCACAGTGTTGGATGAAACTAGTTGGTATTCAGAATGTCTCCATAGTAGAACCCTACATCGAAAGCTCAACCCTCGGAGGGCAGAGGATACCCAGCAGCAACATTAGGTTCAGAGATTTGTTTGATTTGGAGGCGTTCAACCGCATCTCACGTGCTGAAGGTGCCGCAGAAATTGTGCCATATTCAACTTACCTTCGCCATGCACCTCAAAGAGCAATCTATGTCATAATACAAAACTTGAGCATTAAGAACCACCCAAGTCCTACCCTCCCACCTCCAGAACTGGTGTGGGCTGCTCCTGAAGGCGGCGAAGAGTGCTATCAACCAGAGAAAGACTCCAGGATTATCCCACCAGTTTATCCTGATGGCCACAGCTACTGCTACTTCAGAGTGATACGAGCCTACCACAGACCTCTGTACAGGAAAGCCATCTCAGCCAAGCAACTGCAGAGCACAGTATTGGGTGGCCTTGAACTTAAGGGGTTCACGCTGGTCTTATCTTATTGGAGAACACCATGGAGACTAGGTGGATGCCCTATGATCACTGTCACTCCTCCCAAAATCTCAGATAGTCCACATGTGCTCGATGCAGTGACAAAGTTCGAGAAGAAGATGAAGTTTGCTGATGGGCAGTATGTGGCAGTGATGCTCCGCTCAGAGCATGCATACCTCATGATTCAGAGCCACATCCGTTTCAAGCGACCATCAGGATATACTGTCCAGAAATGCTTGGAAGAGACGATGGAGAAGACTAGAGCTACAATGACTGAGCTGAATGCACCAAGAGTATTTATGACAGCTGATGTTGGCTTGTACGGGTCAAACTCTTGGAGAGAGACGCTTCGGAAGAATTACAAGGAGAAGTTCCAAAACATAACACATCAGGTACAGGGGGCAGTAGAGGAAATGTACGGAGGACCATTTCAGGAGTGGGAGCAAGGATTTACCGACATTCTGGGGGCGGGGCTGAAGGATAGTGTCATTGTGGCTGCAGTGCAGAGAGTGCTGGCCTCCAGAGCTGCGTGCCTCATTCTACTCGGAGGAGGGTCATTTCAGAGGATGGCTCTGGCTAGCTACATCCACCAGGCACAGCCAACGAAGTTCTGTGTCCGCATGGTGTGCATGGACCGAGCCTACGAGGGACAGTTCACACAACAGATCGAACAATACCAGACGTAGCAACAGAGCTATGTTTAGAAAGAAGCCTTACATAGCTGCTGCATAGCTATTTTATGTGTGTGTTTCCCTGGATATTATTCGACTAGTTTTCTAACTAACCCGCCGTTAGGTATGAGGGCAATCCTAGTAGCAACGGTCTTGTTTACGTTCATCACCACCGTGATATTCGTCTTCAGTACGCACCCGCTAGCCCCCGCCGCTGTCTGGACGTCGTGCGCGGAGCCGCTAGCGCTGCGCCGGAGCAGAGGAGGCTATATTCTGGTGTTGAGGTATTCAGGACAGCAGGGAGCGGGCGTCCAGGCTCTCTCGTCTCTCCAGCAGTGGATCAGTAATCTGGATTTGCCCATGAAGGTCGTAGAGCCGTTCATACAGAATTCTGTACTCGGCATTCATCCAGCGAAGAAGGCTAACGCGAAAAGCGTCAGGTTCGGAGAAATGTTCGACCTGGACAATTTCAACGACGTGTCCCGCAGGAAAGGGCTAGCAGAAATGATCCCTTGGTCCGTCTACCGTGCTAGTGCCCAGGGCCAGGCTGCTGTCTTCGTCAACATGGTCGCCATTGACGGCCACACATCCTTCTCTGCACCGACGATCAGTTGGCAAGACGGAGGCAGTGGACGGTGCAAAGTCACAGAAATTACAGGTCCCGACAAAACTAGTGTGTCCCTATGCCAGGGGAGACGTGCTGAAGCCTACTGGAAATTTGCCAACACGCACACACTCTCTTCAGAAGAGGTCTACAACTCTATCTTGGGGGGATTGGACCCTTCCAACATCACTCTGATATTCTCTCTTTGGCGTGGACCCTGGCAGGTTGAAAAAGAAAAAAACGTCTTACACCAAGAACTAGAATATAAAGACAGTCAAAACCTACTAAACTCTGCCATTGCTTACCAGAACAAGTTCCTAGCAGCTCCGGAGAGCAGGTACGTTGCAGTTATGATCAGAGCTGAACATTCCATACTGCAGTTCCTCGCAAAGAGAAGCAAGAACACCTCCAAAGACTTGGAGAAGTGTATGGACGAGTTAGTGAAGGAAACCGATGCAGCTATGAAGGCAGTTGGTGCCAGTGGTCTGTTTGTAACGAGCGATGTGGGGTACTTTGGAAGTGGATCATGGAACAGGACAATCTCGTCTCCAGAGAAGGGAGATGTGGCAGACGTAGAAAGGAGGGTGAAGAGGACAGTAGAGAGACTCTATGCAGGCAGACAGGGCTGGACATTTGAAGAGTGGGAGAGGAGTTTTGTGGAGGCATCGGGAGGAGTAGATGAGAGGGGGTACGTGGCCGCACTGCAGAGAGTCGTCGCCACAGACAGGAAGGCAGCTTGCCTGGTGCTGCTTGGTGGAGGCATATTTCACGAGCTCTCTTTGAAACAGTACCTCTACAACACCAACAACCGCACACACCCTTGCTGTGTGCGTATGGTGTGTATGCAGAGAAAATATCGAGAATCGTTGACTTCTATGCTGGAAAAGGCTAGTTAGATTTTTAAAAGTTTTTCACAGTTTTTAAACAAATTTGCCGCAATGCACTAACGTTACAGCGGTGTAGTAAGAGAGTGAGGTGTGGAAAGTACCGTTCCATCCAAATTCTTAGTCCAGTGCAACAGTTGGTCTACATTCTCCTCCTCTTCACCTTTCTCTGCAAATGTCAGCTTGAGTTTATCCATTCTTTGCTGTCTCACTGAACTCCTAGGTAGCCTGTCTCCCTCCTTCCCACCTTGACCATGTATGAGGACGTGATGTCTGGAACAACAGCACATGATATAATGATGATACCAATACACGCAGACTGACTGATTGATCTTTTGTTGCATGCTGGTTCCTCTAGAGCTGGTCTCTCTAAACCTCCTGTCCATTGCTGATCCAACTCTTTTGTCTTCTAGAGAGAGGTAAGCAAACTGCCCACGATAACATTAGAAGAAGTTGTGTAGCTAAATGTCCAGACCATTGTGGGGGCCGAGAGGTCTTGAGGTTGCAATGCCTCTCCAGAGATTGAGGTAGTCATCAAATGAAACTGAAAGAGGCTGAAGGGAGGGGAGTTGAGGTGTAGAAGGGAGGGAAAGCGGTGGGGCTGCAGTAACATCTGCTTCTTCCTCATACGGAGGCAGTCCAGCTGAAGTGAGCAATGCAAAGACTGAAACAGTGCCAGCAGTCTAAGACATACACACCATCAACTCTGAGACTGGCAGACACACAGTCACGGGCCATCTGACAGTATGTACGAGGAGCTCTCTCCAGGAGTTCTGCAGCTGAAGGGTTGACTGTGTGCTCTGGCTCTGGGGAGAAGAGCAGAGCCTGGAGAGCAATGAGGAGGACTGGTACCGAGACCACTTCACTCCAGCCAACGGATGATAGGAGGTGGCAGTGTGGGGTCCCATCTGAAGGATCAACTGGAGACAGACAGCCAGACTACTTCAGCTGTTCATGGCTCAAAGAACTTACTGTTGGGGTGGAAAGGGATGGTCATAAACTGGACGGTGGGAGGAACGGAGTTGAACTCTCCACTGAACTGCAGGCGAAGATGAAACACTCCTCCTGCAGTCTCGTGTGCAGAGGGGAAGTTTGGCGGAAACCGAGAGCCAACCTTCCCAAGGGGTGTCCGGAAGACCTTGCAGCTTTGCCTGCCAGTTGAACATGTTCAGCTCGTCGCACGGGCCCGCACTCAACCCCTGCCACACGCAAAAGGGATAATCACCATTGTTTTATTCATTCATCATTACCTCCATTGGGAAGCGCTTCAAATTCTCGAGATCTCGTCTGAGCAGAAGATACGCTCGCGAATGCATCTTTCCCTGGCCACACCGCTAGGCGCGCTTATTGTTATTTCAATATTACGTTTCCATGACAATGGTGATTATCCCTAACGCTATATTGGAGAGACAAAGTGCTGACTCTGCATCCAACTATTGCATGCGCCCACGTTTCTTTATGGAGAAGTCGTCACCATGTCGTATGTGCTCGGAATCGACGTGGGAACTACAAAGATATGCTGTCTGGCGTTGAACCGTGAGGGTCAGCAGGTAGCTTCCCACACAGCCGACGTGTCTGTTCTTCATCCGCAGCCCGGGCACTCGGAGATCGAGCCGCAGGACCTCTGGGAACGCACGAGGGAAGCCCTAGCGGAGACGATCCGCAAAGGAGGGCTTGAGCCTAAAGACGTTGCCTGCCTCGGCATCACGTGCCAGAGGAACTCGTTTCTTCTGTGGAATCGCGAAACTGGAGAGCCGCTGTGCAACCTGATCACCTGGCAGGATCGTCGCGCGGCTGATGTCTGCAGGGAGTGGAATGAGTCCATGCAGTTCAGGTTCCTGCACGCTGGAGCAGGCATTCTGCACACGTTCACCCGAAACAAGCGGTTCCTTGCAGCCAGCATCATCTCCCTCCAGTGCCAGATGGTGGCCCCTCGTCTCTACTGGGCCTTGAAGAACGTGACGGGAGCCAGCGAGCTCGCGATGGAGGGAAAGCTGTGTTTTGGAACCACTGACAGTTGGGTGTTGTGGAAGCTGACAGACGGTGCTGTTCACGCCACAGACTACTCCAACGTGTGTACATCAGCTCTCTACGATCCGTACCAGATGCAGTGGAGTTCCACCATCCTCAACCTGCTGGGAATCCCTCCAGGAATCCTGCCTGAGGTCAGGGATTCTGGTGGGGAGTTTGGCCACGTCCCGGAGCACCTGTTTGGTGCCTCCATCCCCATCACTGGCGTCATCTCCGACCAGACTAGTGCCATGTTTGCACAGGGGTGCTGGGAGAAAGGCGATCTCAAGTGCTCCTTGGGGACAGGCATGTTTATGTGCCTCAACACTGGCCGGAAACCGCACGCCTCTCTCCAGGGGTTGTACCCTGTCATTGGCTGGAAGATTGGGTCAGAAGTGGCCTATCTTGCGGAGGCCAACTTCCCCAGCTGTGGAAGTGTGGTGGAGTGGGGGAAGAGGTTTGGTCTGTTCTCAGACCCAGCAGAGACTGAGGCTCTTGCTGAGGCAGCAGAGAAGATTGACGGACTGTGCTTTCTCCCAGCGTTTGACGGAATTCAGGCCCCGTACACAGACCCCCATGCTAGCGCTGGGATCCTAGGAATGACGCACGCGACAGAGGGGAAGCACGTAGTGCGAGCAATGCTGGAGTCTCTGGCCTACGCCTTCAAGATGCTGTTTGACACAGCCTGCAGTGAGATAGACTTCAAAGTGAAGAGGGTGTGTGTGGATGGAGGGGTGTCACGGAATGGGTTTGTGGTTCAGCTGAGCAGCAGTCTCCTCGGTCTCCCGGTGGAGAGACCGACAGAGACCGACATGACGGTATGTGGAGCCATCTTCCTTGCCGGGCTCGCATCTGGCTTCTGGACCTCAAAGGAACAGATCTTGTCCTTTCGCAAGCTGGACAAGACGTTCCAGCCAGCATCAGGGGAGGCAAGGAGGACTGTGGTCAGTGGGTACCAGCGCTGGCAGGGCGCTATCCAGCGCTCCCTCCACTGGTACAAGGAGAATGGAATACCTCAGTAGAGACCCTGTCACTTGTGTCCAGACTCTTGACCTCATTGTTTACACACCACGAATCACCTGATTTCCTGCTTACATTACCAGCACAATGCAGATTGAGGTAATCTGGAAACGTGATGAAAGGTAGAAAGGGGGCCCTTAATTCTGTGGTCTACAATGCACCGTTAGTGGCAGCAGCGCAGTTTTTGACAGTATAATAGTGTGCATGGAATGTAGTGCCATTGAACAAAAAGTGTACAATAATTTACTGATGGTGCATTGTGTGTGTGTGGTAGTACAATAGTCCAGGTGAGGAAAAGATGAAGGAGGAGATGAGGAGTTTAGAGCGAGAGAAAGAGAAAGAGAAAATGAATACCATACAAGGAATGATGATCCCAACATGACGACATACAGTTCTGACTATACTGAGTAGGTACACAAATAATATTATGCTCTGAAGCTGTGGAGCGGGTGATTATAGTCACGTGGTTGCCTGCGGAGCTTTTCTTCGTGTTCTTCTAGTAAAACAGCAACACCTATGGGGCACAGGGGGAGGGGCTAGTGATGTCACTCCCAACTAGTTTAGCAGACTAGATTGAGACAATTCAGCATGGCGACATGCCTACCAGGAAAGGGAAAGCTATTTGTAGTTGGAATAACCCAGGAGTGTTTCCCCGTGAGAAGAACATGTCAAGTATCAAGGCCAACATAGTCTAATACAACCTCAATACATGTATGATGGGTTCGTGCAACATGTTGCACGAAAATAGTAGACAACACATCAGTCTGTGTATGTCTAGCAAGAGGTGAGCCATCTTACCTAGTCTCTTCTACCACTTCCACTTGTGTCTGTGGCTGGCGAGGTCCCCTTGCCGGCCGGTTCGAGTTGACCATGTCAGCCGTGCTGTTTGTACCTGTTCCTGGGATGGGCACTTGACTCCCTGTCTTGTGCTCTGTCGGAGCTGGCTCTACCACCACGTCCTTCTGCAGAAAACACACACACACACAGACGTGGGTATATACATATACTCCAGTGAGAGAGAACTACACAGTGATGGCTGAAACTGTACTGATGCACAATAAATAGTGTCAGCTATGATAGTTCATACCACGTTTCCCTGGTCTCTCAACTGGTTTGGGCAGCGTGCCTGTGTGGCCCTTCTGTATTGGAAGAGTAGGTGGAGCAATCATGGGCTCTGATTAGAGGGGCACACTCAAACTCACAATCTCCTTCCCTGTCCAGTCGAACACTCCGTCATCCTTGTAGCCTCGTCTCTCAAACAACTCCTGAAACAGCTTCCGCAGATAGTTGTAGTCTGGAGTCTCAAAAAAGTCTAGTCGCCGTACGTACCTCAAGTAGGTACACATCTCTTCTGTGGGAGAGAGGTAGTAAAGAGTTGGTGGCTCATAGAGATGTTGATCCACCTCATGTACCTGGGTGTCCGTCACAGAGAACCTCGATGGGAGTGGCTCTCTTTGTGTCTCCGATCTTCTGGTATCTCTCCTTCAGTGTGTCTGCCTTCAGACCCTGCCACGGCAAACTCCCTCGCAGGAAGTACATGAACATGTGACCCAGTGCCTCAAGGTCGTCTCGCCGGCTCTGCTCTGCATGGGACAAAGGTCGGGTAGCGTAGCCACACCCACTAATTACCACCATCTAACCTTTTCCTAGGTGAGTGTTGCTGCTCATGTATCTGGCAGTGCCGGTCAGGCTCTTGTGCTCGCGGTAGGGTATGTGTTTATTGGTGAGGGGATCAATGTATTCCTTTGCCAGCCCAAAGTCAATGATGTTGACTGTGTTCTGATTGGGCGTTCCAAACCGGCCCATCAGGAAGTTTTCCGGCTTCACGTCGCGGTAGATGAGGTGTTTGCTGTGCACGTACTCCAGTCTCGTAATCTGGAGTCAGACACAAGGCCAGCTGAAATTGGGAGGCCCCTGGTGATTACTAGCCCTAGCACTCACTAGTTGGATGGCTATCATTAGAAGAGTCTTGAGTGAGAAAGTTCTGTCGCAAATGTCAAAGAGATCTTCTAATGATGGTCCAAGTAGCTCCAGGACCATCGCATTGTACTTGCCGCACGGTCCAAAGTAAAACACTTGTGGTATTCCAACTGTGAGTGGGGTTTGTAGTGTATAGAAAATTGGGGAAGGAGAAAGAGAGGGGGATGATAATGAACAAGAGAGTGGTGCAGGGGGTGGAAAAGAAGGCGAGAGGGAGGAGGAGGAAAAGGACATGACACGATGGCTGCTTGCCAGGAGTTGTGGTGCCACACAATGGAGACTTGCCCGCTGACCTGCGTTGCCCAGTGTCCGGTAGAATCTGTATTCCAAGTGCAGCTGAGGTGCTCTTGATTTCATCGGTTCCTGACACATGATGTGGTTTGTACATTTGGTAATGCATGAATACAAATCAACTTACCAACTTGATTGCTACGTGTTCGTTGTTGTATAAATTCTTTCCTGCAGGGGAATGATATGATGACATGCTGTGACATATTGCACAATGTGACTGCCACCAAATGGGGATATGAATAATTCAATAGCCGGCAACCTGGCACAATGATGTAATGGGAACTGAAATCACTTGACCATCCGTGAGACTATGACCTGTGCAGCTCATGTCCTGGGTTCAAGTTCTACTGGAGACACTATATAGCAACCACCACAAAGACTACTATATAAAGAGTTTTCTAAATAAAGCTTCCAGTGGCTAAACATAGTAGGCACAGCTGTTGTTGCCTGCCAACCAACAGCCTTTGGCCCTCTCTAGGTCTCTTGTCCTGAACCCTGAACACACCCCTGCCTATCCCTTATTCTTTCCTCTCTCTCCCCGCTTTCTTTCTTTCTTACTTGGTCATGATGAAATGTGAACATCCCATGGAAGGAACACATAACCCAAGGCACAACTCACTAGCTACACACACACTTGAACAGACACACACACAAGCCTCTCTCTCCCTATATACTGCTAACGCACATGTACCTAATCTCAGCTCTCCAAAGTTGCCACAGCCAATCTTCTTCCCGACCCTGAAGTTGGGTCCCACCATCAGAACAGAGCTGTGGCTGGAGGGGACGTCTCGGGAGCCTCGTGAGGACGTGGTCCCGTGAGAAGGCCGTCTCCCGTCTCTGTCACTCCGACTGCCATTTCTTGCCGTTCCGCCGCGAGACGCCATAACTTTCTAGACAACGAAATGGGAGGGACAAAGCAAGCACAGCCGTCAGTACAACAGACACGACTACTAAGCTAGCGTATTCAACAGGCGTGGAAGCTTACGGAAGCTTCCAGGTTTACAATCATACGTGGACGCTAACAACCACTGAAAGTATGGCCGCAGTCCAAACCGACTCTACGACTTCAGGCTTTTATCTCCTCCCCGCTTTTTCGTTCATTACCTTTACCCTAGGATAGTCGTTCTCTGGTACAGTTCCGAGTCGAGTCACTCCAGAGAGAACGCCGCTTTCTTCCTGAACGACTGACTCTACACTCTATTTACTGGCTCAAAAGGTCGAACGACTCGCCCAAAATCCGCCCACGTGAATATCACATGACGCGGGTGCGGTATAATTGGAAAAAACTTTAGACTGCGGTGTTGTTTGGCATGGCTGGAGTGAACTACAAGCAGGACATGCCTCCCAAGGGAGGCTACCAGCCCTTTAGGGTCTCTCGTCATCTCCCAAACCGAGGACCTAGCGGGACTGTCATCATGCTGGGCGGAGTCGCTGTAATGGGGTTTGGCTTTTACGTCATAAAAAAAACGAACGAAGAGAGACGGTATTTGCACACTGCGACCTAGTGGCAAAAGTTGCATTTCCCCTGTAGGGCACTGAAGAGAGAAAAACTAAATGCGCGACTTGCACTGCTTCCACTTTTGCAGGCAGAGGAAGACAGGAGGTGTGTGTGTGTGTGGACTTCTGTATAACTGAGCTACTCTTGCTCTCCACCTGCAGGATGCTACGTAGCCTGGTGGCAGCAGAGGAGGAGGAGGCCCAGATAATGGCTGGAGTCCCTGGCTGGCAGGTGGGAGAGAGCATCTACCACACTGACAAGTGGATTCCTCCACATCCGTCTCAGCTCAAGAACCACTAACACTGCTCTATGTCATAGTGTTATAGTCTCTGTTCAGTTGTGTTGGCTGTTATTTCAAATTCTTCAAATACTGTTAAAACTTCTCCAGATCGTGATTGATGCGCATGCTCAGCCTCACGGAGCCGGCCAATGCGCGTTCGCGCGCAGCAACGGCAAAAAAATTTGCGGCGACACTCAAATCATGTAAGAAACTGCATCAATGCACATTGTGTCTTGTAATAAATCACATGCTCAGGAGACGTGAAGATAGAGCACTTATAAGTAGAATATTTGAGCACAAAGAAACCAGTCATAAACATGGATACTATTCTGATAACTTTGGCGACGGTAGTTTTCATGACGAGTGTGCAGTGTTCCCCGCTACACGGGCCAGGGCTAGCGGACCAGTGGGCCGTGGGGCTGCGGGATGAAGGGAGCAGTCTGCGAGAACTGGAGCAGAAGGCTCAGGACATTGCTCGGGAGCATGGGCTGGTCTACAAGGGCCCGGTGAGAACCTACCAACTCTGCATGTGACTAGCTGGATAGCAAATTGTTCGGCGTCAATCAGGTGCCGGGGATGCGAGGAATGTTTCATTTTTCTGCACCAAAGTCTGCAGTGGGCAATAGTTCTGAACTGACTCGCAGTCTACAGCTAAATGAAGAGGTATGTTATTGAGCTGCATGATCCTGGTCCGGTGAAGTTGATGTTTGTCTGCAGGTTGAAGTAGCAGAGCAGCAGAGGTTGCTGGTGAGAGAGCTGAGGAGAGCTCCAGTTCTGGAGAAAAAACCACTAGATGTTCTGTCAACAGCTGAGGAAAGGGGAGTTCGTGAAAAGAGAGGCAGCAACTCTGCTCACTTCAAATGGCCCACAGACCCTCTATGGAGCAGGCAGTGGTCCCTGGTAATTAACTCCCTCATTGCCAGGGACGATGTCTATTATACCCATAATTCCGCAGTACAATGTGGGTCAGAGTGGGGGCAAGTCTGGACTGGATATAAAGGTGCTGCCGGCGTGGATCCAGGGCTACACTGGCAGGGGAGTCGTAGTCAGCATTGTGGACGATGGTAAACTTACATCCAATTCACATTACTGGGAGTGAAACTATCTTCATTGCAGGCCTACTGATGAGCCATCCAGACCTCACGGCTAACATAGTGAGTGGAAATTTGCCACATTGCTACTGACATATTCTCTCTCTGTCTCACTTGTAGGACTGGACTGCCAGTCTGAACACTGTGGACGGCTCTAATGACCCCTCCCCCTCCAGTTCTTACGACAACCACGGAACTAAATGTGCCGGGGTCATTGCCATGGAAAAGAGTAATCAATATTGTGGAGTGGGTGTGGCTCACCAAGCCACTCTCACAGGTAAACCATGTTTTGTTACATGTGAGCATCTGGTGTGTCCTTTACGAAACATCACATGCTGGGATTTTAATCAATCCACGGGTGATTCTCAATCATTTTGTTCCCCATACAAAATGTTGTGGGGTAAATTGGTGTCTGAAAATTGTCATTCAGGTGTTCCTACCACTTATCTGCAGGTGTATCGTTTGACCTGAGTCAGGTGACTGATCTGGTGGAGTCCACAATGCTGGCCTATCGCTCCGACTATGTCTCCATCTACAGCTGCAGCTGGGGGCCCAGTGACAGTGGGTTCATTGTGGCTGGCCCTGAGACGTATACAAGAACTGTCCTGCAAGAGGCAGCCTCACAGGTAGCTTAGCCCCTTGTTCTTTGACTGTTATGATCGCGGGACATATCTGTGCCAGTGCTTATGCACTTACATTACTACTTACTGTTAGGGACGAGGTGGACTGGGCAACATCTATACATTTGCCAGTGGCAACGGAGGTTCCAATGGAGACTCGTGTGCAGCTGACGGCTATGTCAACAGTATCTACACCATGGCAGTCGGTTCTGCTGACCACACCGGGAAACAGGCCTTCTACGACGAGGACTGTGCAGCCAAGATTGCTGTCACCTACTCTTTCAACTCCAAGACATTTGATGATGCCTATGCTTATGAACAGCTGGTGGGTGGATGTATTATACCTATGTAGTTGTTGAGACTGTATCTCTCTCTCTCCCAGTCCACTACAAGTATTGATGGTGACTGCACAGATTCTTTCACTGGAACCAGTGCCTCAGCTCCTCTCATGGCGGCTGTGGTGGCACTGGTCCTGCAGGCCAAGTGAGTTGTTTGTTCCAAAAACCAGTCAGTAAAATGTTCTTTGAATAAGAAACCATGCGACGGAGCATGGTTCCTACTACAGTACAAAGTAGATCTGAGAGTACAGCAGTGGTTGCTTTACAAGTTGGCGCAGCTCATGTTCTTTTGAACGGTGAGCTCAAAGCAGGGCACTATTTCTTTCCCAGTTCCAAGCTGAGTTGGAGAGATGTCCAGTATCTGGTGGTCTACACCTCAAACTACTCTCCACTCAAGTCTGGAGGATGGAAAACCAACGGAGCTGGTCTCAAATTCAGCCACAAGTTTGGATTTGGAGCTGTGGATGCTGAGGCAATGGTGACTAGAGCCCGTAACTGGATCTCAGTTCCGGCCCAGCAGAGCTGCACCATCTACCCTGGATCCTCAGGGTGAGCTACCTCCCCAGCTTGTATATACACAGATCCATCAGGTACCAGGTCCAAGTGCTTTTTTGTGTTAGTGGAGCAATCATTTCTGTGGGCCTACACTATCCAGTGTTCAAAATGGTGTAGCACTAACACACAATAATGTTTTGAAGGTGTATGTAGAGCTAGCACTAATTCCTCCCACAGAACAGCATATGCTGGGAGTCCTCTCTCCCTCTCCTTCGCCGTGGACAGCAGTAGCTGTTCAGATGTGGGGTTCCTGGAGCACGTGGTGGTGACTGCCACTCTCTCTCTCAGTGTCGACGGCTACCAGAGCTACTATGAGGAAGACTACTACCAGGACCCATCAGTGATATCTCAGAATGGGCCTCGCAGAGGGGACATATCTCTCTATCTCACCTCTCCCTCTGGGACAACCTCCGTCCTGCTACCCAAGAGGCCAGGGGACTTTGTCAATGCTGAAGGCTACTACGAGTGGCCCTTTATGTCGCGTCACTTTTGGGCGGAGTCCCCGGGCGGCACATGGACCCTCACTCTCTCCTATGACTCTAGTGCAGGCTCTGCGTCGCTAGAAGGGTTCGCAGTGGTTCTGTATGGGACCACCTCTGTGCCCAAGGCAGTGGAGAGGATCCCTAGCAAGTGCAGCTCCCAATGTTCCCGAGGCTGTGCAGCCAAGGGAGAGGCTTACTGCGACTCTTGTAGGAATTTCCGCCTCCCGTCCACGCTGCGCTGTGTGGCTACATGTCCCACTGGTCAGTGTGGAGTGAGTGGTTACTGTGTCCACTGCAGTCCCTACAGACTGTCTGCACTTGCCATCACTGGCATTGCTGCTGGAGCAATAGCTCTGGTGGGTCTCTCTGCAGTCCTCCTCGTATTCATCTGGTCACGAAGATGGTATTGTCGCCGCTCCAACTATGACACTATATAAGACAGAGAATTTAGTTTTTAATTATGTCTGTAGCTTATGTAAAGGTTGTGTGCAGGACAGCAATGCTCTCAAGCGGTGTCTTGTAATGATGCGCATGCGCATACGGAACGTCAGAAATTAACCCTTTCGTCGCCGAAAGAAGATGGCTCAACAAGTTCCGACTGTTTTGAAAGCCACTGCAAGACCCATTCTGTCCACGTCTCTGCACGAGGCTCGCAGAAGAGCTCTCAACCTCTACAGAGCTTGGTACCGCGAGGTAATGACGTAGTTCCTCCGTTTATTCTAGTGTTTATCATGGTCACGTGATGTAGGTGCCCCGTGCAGTACAGATGTATAAACTGGACATGACAGTGGGTACAGGTAGGAAGAAGGTAAGGGAAGAGTTCCAGAAGAATTCTCACGTCCGTGACCCACGAGTTATCGATATGCTGGTGATCAAGGTATCCCTATTATGGTGTGCACCCCACCAATACATCTCCCTCTCTGCATACTGACTGTAGGGAAAGATGGAACTGGAAGAAACTTCGAACATGTTCAAACAAAAGTCACATGTCATGAGATTCTTTAGAGAAACTGAAAGACAACGCCCATCCGACTTCTTATCTCGATTCTATGAGGGACACCAGTAACCACACCCCCATAGGGCTCTCACTAGCCTGCAGACTTACTCTATGTCAGTGTATTATTGTGTTAGCTGCTCTCTCTATATTAGGATTATAAGTTCAGTTATAACTTTAATCTAGCAGACTAATTCATACAACGATCACCATTATACACCAATAGAGTATTCACAAATAGTTATTCTTCGCCAAAACTGTCACTCTAAATGCGTGTATTGTGTGTACATCATTACGACATGCACTCATTATACATTGTGTATGGTTTCCAGGCACACAATACCAGCAGACAAATTCTGCAGTTTGATGCATGAACAGTGATAGTGACACAATTCAACTTCTCCACAGTCTGTAAATGCATTGTATAGTGTAGACAAGAAGTCTGGCATTACGACATGCACTTTATGTACCGTTGCCAGGCACAAACAATGGCAGCAGAAAAAACAAGGCTTATGAGACATGAATCACAGCGATGTGTGACACAATCACTGTCTGTATAAAGGAAATGCAGTTTCATGAGAATTCTACAGCAAGTGTGAGTAGTGGTGAATGATGGGATCAGAGGGTGAAGATACTACTAGAGTCTAGTCTCAGGTGGAGTCTGGCTACTGAGAGGACTGCTGGAGACTGTCACATCCTCCTCCATCTCCAGAGCCAAGTCCTCTTTAGTGCTGCTGAAGCTGTTTCTGCCAAGGTTGGAGTAAGCAAGTGACCACTGCTCATTCAGAGCTCTGACAGACGTTGGCCTGGGAAGTCTGATGTCTGAGACAGAGAGAGAGATAATGGATTGTTAGTCTTCACAAAAGTAAGCCGTAGACATTACCTCAGTTGCTTGGTTGAAGGTCACAGTCACTTCATCGTTCCCTGGAAGGTAGGCAGAAGGTATCAACTAAATCCATGCTACAATCCATGATACTCACCAATTGTGCTCACATCCTCCATGAGAGGCACCAGTCTGTGGCTAACTATGGATCCAGTGCCTTGGACGGCAGTTGGGGCTGCAATAACAGTCATTCCATCAAGTCCGATTGAGCCACTAGAAAAAAGGGCTCTGTTCAATAATCGATACCCAAAATAGTAGTTAGCATTACCTGACGAAGTAATCCTTATTCTTTCTTTTTCGAGATATGTACCAGCAACAGCAGCAAAGACCACACCCACCAACCATACTTACCAAGACGACAATGCCAACTACTACTATGATTATGATAAGCATCAAAGGCAACCCAGACTCATTACTTGCCACCTCTCCTTTCTCAACCTCCACAACTTTCACTTGAATCCCAACGTCAGTGGTCATAGGAGGAGTTCCCATGTCTGAGACCCTGACAGTGAGACAATACTCTCCCTTGTCTACCACTCCTTCCAATCGCAGCTCCCCTGAGATCTGGTCAATTGTGAACTGACCATTGGAGAGAGGAGGAGCTGTGTTGGTCAGGGAATACGCGAGCCTTTGGTTGAGACCCACATCAGCATCAGAGCAAGAGAGACTCAGAATAGTTGTAGAGCGGAATTCGCCACCACTTAAACTCACGGTGCTTTCTTCTCGGCACTTGGGAACATTGTCGTTGATGTCTTCGACACTGATATTGAGAGAGAACGAGGTGTTCTGTGGCTGTGCAGTGGTGGAAACGGAGATAGCCACAAGGTGGATGAGATGTGTGGCTCTATCTTCTCTGTCCAGTGACCCATTCACTATCAGCACTGGGTAGTTTGGGTGGTTGTAGGGAGCAGAGGGGGAGACTACAAATGTTCCTGGTAGGCTTTGGCTAGCTATCGCGATTATTACAGCTTCAGAGTCAACGTCATACACTGAGAAGGTGAGCACAGGCATGCCCGTGGAAGAGTTTTCAAGAACGGAGACAGAAGTGTGGGAGATGTTGATCTGGGGAGGCTGGGAATCAGTCTTGGAGATCGTGAGGGTGAGGGTCTTGTTTGAGGAGAGAGAAGGTGATCCCTTGTCCCTGCACTGGATGGAGAGGTTGTGGGACTGAGAGAGAGTGAAGTCTGGCAGCAGGAGAGGAATGTTGACCAGGACCCTGCCTGTTTGGTCCACTGCAAACAGACTGTGTTGAGGGAGTATCTCGTAGACTATATCACTGTTTTCCCCAGAGTCTTGGTCTGTGCACCTCACAGAGTGGACTGCACCAGATGCAATGGTGTCTGGCACTACTACCGTCTCATGGAGAGGATTCGAGAATTTTGGGGCATTGTCATTCACGTCCAGAATGTGAATGGTAACAGTGGCAGTGGCTGTGTGGAGGAAGTCCTCACAGACCATCTGAAACTGGTAGGTCTGGTTGCGCTGGTCAAAGTCAAGCTCGGTTGCCAGAACTACCTCAACACTTTCAGGACCGCCTGGCCTCTGGAGAGAGAATGTCTGTTCTACATCTGGTGGTGGGTCAAGGAATGTGATCCTCCTCACCACTCCGATGTAGACGTCAGCATCAGAACACTCAAGAGTCAGTAGAGAAGAGCCGACAGCTATAGATTCATTGACTGTGGCACTGTAAGAGGCATTGAGGAAGGTAGGCTCATTGTCGTCACTGGCTATTATGAAGAGAGGGAAGTGGATGATGGGGCAGGCCTCAATGTCAGTGTCTCTGTCGCAGACTCTGATCTTGACAGGCAGCTCGTGGTAGACGTAGGTGAACATGCTCGGCTCTGACTCAAAGTCTATAGCTCTGACGAGGGTCAGGTTGCCGTGTATGGGGTTGAAGGAGAAGTGGTCACCGAGAGATGTGAGGAGAGTGAAGTTGAGCTGTCCGTGAGGCCCTCGGTCTCTGTCCTGGACCAGGAGCCTGTGCTTGGCACCGGGGAGGGAGGAGAGGAGGAGAGAACCACTGGGTGTGGCCTCAGTGATGTTCAGTACCAAAGAGGGGTCTATTTGAGGAAGAAACTCATTGACTGGCGCTACATACACCTGGACAAGAGCTAAAGCTGAGGCATTGCTGAAAGCATTAATACAGGAGACATTGAATGTAAAGAGTTCAAAACCCTCTTCCATCGAGTCATAGTCAATGTCGGCTGTGGCATTGAGCTCTCCAGTATCAGGGTCTATTTCAAATGGTAGGTCAGAGGTTGGGTAGTGGATGGTGTAACTGGAGTTAGGGGTGCAGGTGAGGGTGAGAAAGCCAGATTGGGGTCTGGGGTGGTCTGGGGGAGCCGTCTCGTTCACTGTGACAGTGTACACTGACTGGGAGAAATGGACCTCGCTAGAACTCAAGGAACCTGGACCGGGAAATGAAAAAGGCTAATGGACACTAATTCACAGTGTGTGCGCTAGAATGGTGGGGACCATTTAGCTGTATTATGGAGCAGAGTTGGTACGTATGTACCGCTCCCACACACTCTCCAGTGGAGCTTTTAGCTCCAGTGCCAGTACTGTTTATTACACAACATCTCAGACAACACAGAGAACTCAAATATGTTTGGAATGAGATTAATTAACATACAGAGAGTAACATTGTTGTATATATATTGTTTGAAATTGTGGTAGAAGTTGTCCCATGGCAATTCCTTGTTGTTAAAGTGTGGACCACTTTTGAAATAAACATTGCATTCCAAAGATTCCACATAATTTTGCTACTGCACATGATGAATACTACACAGCTACACACTAATATCACAGCTACTAACACAAAAGGTCTGTCCTGCTACACTAAATGTGATTGCTGCAGTAGTGACTCACTGTCTAGAGATGCCGCCACCACAGCCAGCAACATCAATGCACACGTCATCTCGGACATATCTGCAGCACAAACGACTAGATGCAGCCAATTCCTCTCCAATAGCCTTCTCCCAGCCGCGACTGGGAGTTTTATAGAGCCCTCGATGTGAATATTAGTCAGCTATTACGTCATCTGGCCAAAAGGTGGGTGGGGCTGAATTAAAAGTTTTGTGGGGTTGCGAATCCCCGCGTTTTGAGAAAAGGAACATAACCATGTAGGAGTGCTGGTTGGTCACGTTTCCATGCACTGTCCAGCGTGTTAGTTTAGTTGATGTTTCATCACCCCTGCTGTAATATATAATATTGTGTCATCAGAAGAACACAACAGCAACTGCAGGCATCTGACTTTTGAGAACATCTGTTGCTTACTAGCCCATTAATACTATGTCCCTCAATCAGACAATTGTTTTGCAATAAACACTAATTGTCAGTTCAATAATATTATGCAGCAGATATATATACATAGCAAGCTGTGGGGTGATGTTTTCCCCAAGGTAATTCTGTGTTGTGGCTCTAAACATTCCAATCTAGGTACTGTTCAATTTCAGGCAACTCTACTTTACAGTAGTTGTACGACGTAAACTAAAATACTTCAGTCTTGCTTTCTTTCTAGAATCACTACCACCAGGTCAAAGAGTTTGTGTTTGTCACCTACTCGACGTGAATACAATCAGCTGAAATAACGTCATCTCTATAGATGGGTGGGGCTGCAAAGTGACACACGGAGATCAAGAGAGAGCGAAACAGAAAATCCTCTTTCTCGGCTAAAATGGCTATCAAGGTAAGCGTATAGCTTCCACGCCAATTGCTTACCGGGTAGCTAAGCCAATGTGAAAGAATAGTCTCATATCCAAAATATTCACGCATGAGATTTGAGGGTGGGGCTGGTCGTGATCCTCTACATCCCTACAGAAAGTGTGGGTCGCGATGTTTTGCTGCAAGACGTGGCTCTGCGTGTTAACAATTTGGATAATTGCCTCATCAGGTAAGTATGTTTTAGAGCTAGCTTGTATAGCCGCAGTATTATAGCTACTATGACATCAACTACAGGAGCAGAAGGATTGAAATTTACTGACAGATATGAAGTTGATGTTTCGGAGACACCAGCTAGTGATGCTGACATACCACCACCAAACCCACTGCCTCCTCCAACTACTGCGACTCTAAAGTGTATTGAAGATGATGGTAGCCCGATCAATGATGACATCACATACTCCATCATTGAAGGAGATACACAGTTGTTCTCATTTGACCCAGCCACACAACAGTTCTCAGTGTCAGAAGTTTATAAATTTGACTATGAACAGCAGCCATGGTTTATTGTGACCATCCAATGCAACCTCACCTCTGACCCAAGTCGATATGGAAATGGAATTGTCAATATTAGTGTTGGCTCTGTCAATGAATACCGACCAACATTGGAAGTACCTGCACCTATAGTAGTCCCAGAAACCACTCAAAGAGGAACCGTGATAGCAGCTCCTGATGCGGCTAGAGGGGCACTAGGCACTTTCACTGTTAATGACAGGGACAGTGGGCCTGACGGGGTTATCATTTATTCCTTTGAAATTGGAAACGAAGATGACAGGCTTTTTGAAGTCAACCAAGTAACAGGGACAATCACCCTTGATGCTGATCTTGATGTTGATGACCATCCAGAGGGAAGAGAAATTCTTTCAGTCTCAATAGTAGCATGTAATAGTGGCCTTGAACTTGATAGTTGTGAGGCACGATCTCTCACAGTGTACATCACTTCAACCAATGACATCCTTCCACAGTTCAACGAGACAGTCTACACTGCGAGTCTGAATGAGTCAGCTCCCAATGGAACACTAGTGCTCCAGGTCCTGTGTGTGGATGGCGACACACGAGTAGGCGAAGTTCAGAGCATCTCATATGGAAATGGAGCGTCAAATGAGACTCTGTCTACGTTTGAAGTGGAGTTTGACAAGCTGAGTACTTCAGCCAGTGTATCACTGCTGAGTGAACTGGACTATGAAACCACCACTAGCTACAGCTTCTCTCTGGACTGTTCTGATGGAGAACACACTGCCACCACTCAAGTAACAGTTGAAGTCCTGCCAGTCAATGACAACAGGCCTCAGTTTGAGGCGGAGAGCTATGATTTCTCAGTGAATAGAGCAGCACCTGTTCCCTCAGACACTCTGGTTGGGACAGTGAGGGCCAATGACACAGACTCTGCGGTTGGGGGCACCGTCACGTACTCCCTCAGTTCTGACAAGTTCTCTATTGACTCTGAGACAGGGGAGATCACGCTCAAAGACTACCTCAGTGCTGGAGATGGAAATACATTTGACTTTGATGTCATAGCAAGTGACGGGGAATACGAGGCGAGGGCCAGGGTACGTGTGAGAGCAGAAGGCCTGCTGTCAATACTGGAATGGGTGTATGTGGGGATCGGAGGGTTTGTGCTGCTGGTCATTTCTGTCGTTATTGGCATCATTGTCTTCCACCACTTCATCAAGGCAGCCAGTATCAAGACCATTGTGAAAGAGAAATACATAGAGTAAGTGATACAAACAACCTTACATTTTGTGTATCTTGTACATTGTAATGCAGGGCGGAGGTTGAGACAGACAGTGAGAAAGAAGAAACAGACTACCCCCACCACCCAGCTATTATCATAGCAGCACCTCCCATGTTTCCTCATCCTCATGGTTTGTGTGGATAACTTCCAAGTATGGTGTACGACATGCATTCTCGTATGCACACAACACACAACAGGTGGAGGGATGTCAATGGTGGGCCAGCCACTCTACCCTCCACTAGATGGAGGTGAGAGTGACTTCAGCGAAAGAAGTGGGACTCTCGGGACACTGGAAGGATCCCAATACCACGGACCAGGCCCACTCCTCCAGGAAGTGGTGGATTACTTCCATGAGGGAGACAAAATGCTAGAAAAGAAAGGCAGCAAGAAATAGCACTCTACACTGACAGCATCCAGATAGATACACTGTGCATGGAATACGTAAACACTCTCTTTGCCGACTTGTTTTGCCAAAGTCTCACATTATGGCTATGTTTTATGGATGAGGTTGTGTATTGCGAAATACGTAACGGAGGGTGAATATGGGTGGGGCTGGCTGGCTGCAAGGCTAGGCAATTCTGCAACAGCGAAAAGATGACGATGTTAGCTCAGCTCGTTCTCCTGGCTTTGGCCTTCAGTGGTAAGGTTCTCAGAGAATGCTGTGAGTTCGGGTGTCAATAAACGTCTTTCTCGCTGCAGTGTCCTCTGGTACTCCGACTGGCCTGCATTTCATCATCGACGACATCCTTGAGACCACTGTCGAAACAGAGGTTGGGAGGATAGAATGTCTGAATAGTGAATCTCCTACGTTATTCACCCTCCAAAATGCCGAGGACGTTCCTTTTGAGATCAATCCCGCCGGTACACTAACATTGCGACGCTTGTCCGAACAACAGAGCTGGACTACGAGACAGGTCCCGACGAGTACGAGTTGCAGGTGACGTGTGCCGATTCCTCTGGCTCCGTCTCCGCCACCACCACTGTAACTATTCTCCCAGACAACGAGTATCTCCCTATGTACTCTCCGGACACTCTAGAAATCGACATTAGCGAGGTGACTGCGGCTGGAACAATACTAGCATCCCAGAGTCCCGGCGCCGTGGAACACTTCACAGTTTCTGACCAGGACAGAGGAGACGATGGAGTGCTGAAGTTCAGTTTCTCTCAACTGACAGATGATTCTATGGCGATCACTCATTTTGGGATCAATGCTACAGATGGCACTATTACTTTGACTAGAATGATTGATGTGGACATTGACTACAGGAGATCAGTGACATTGGAAGTAGTGGTGTGTGATGGAAACAGAGACGAGAATTTATGTCCCATTTGGATTGTGGACATTGTTATTGCTTCTGTCAATGAGTTTACTCCTCGGTTCTCCCAGACAACATACACCACTGCCAACCAAGAGTACATTGAAGGTGATTATCGAGATGAAACTCATCGCTACAGTTTCCTGCACTGATGAAGACACTGGTGAGGGGGAACTGAACAGTATTGAGTTGGTGGAAAGTCTGGCTCCATTGCAGCTGGTAAAAGTATCTGATGGGCAAGCCGAGGTGTTACTGAATGGCTCCTTGGACTCAGAAGTGATCAGGGCACAAGAGCTGCAGGTGCAGCTAAACTGCTCTGATACTGGGAGTCCACCAAGAACTGCAATAGCTACACTGATACTACATGTGAAAGACCTTGACGACAACCTACCAGAGTTCACTGAGCCTCTGTACGAATCTAATGTTGAAGAGACACTCGGGGCCGGGAGTGAAGTAGTGGCAGTAGTGTGCACTGACAAGGACTATGGAGCAGGTGATCTGGCTGACATCCGACTACTGAATGCCAGCAGTGAAGTGGCACAGACATTTGAGGTAGACCCTGAGACTGGCAGTATCACTCTGAACAAGAGCCTGGATTTTGATACTGGGACCCAGAGCTACCAGTTCACTGTGGTGTGTAGGGACTCAGCAGACAATGAGGTGACGGCCAGAGTAAATCTCAACGTGCTCCCAGTCAATGATGAACAAGTCTGGTTCACAAGGTCGCAGTATGAGTTCAGTGTGGATCGGCTAAAGCTACGAGGAGAGGTGGTGGGTAAGGTAGAGACAACAGATGGGGATCTGGACGCTCAGCAAGTCATCTCCTACTCCATTGAAGACAACCCAAACTTCAGTGTAGACGACAATGGTCATGTAGTGTTGGAGGACTTCATTCTGTTTTTGGAGGGAGACCACTTCAGACTGAGTGTGACAGCTAGTGATGGAGCCAATGAGGAGGCAAGTAGTGTGGTGTTGGTGACAGTGGATGGTCCTCTCTCTGTGCTGGACATTGTCCTCATCATTGCTGGAGCTCTGCTGCTGCTAGCTATAGTGCTCCCCATTGGCCTCGTTTACTGTGTTATGAAGAGCAATAGAGGTTTGCCAGTTTAGTTGATTAACACATGTGTATCATTGCTTCTATGCAGCAGGTGTGGAGACAAGTGTCAAAAATCCCGAAGACGAAGAGGGTAAATAGTTTGACACATCTGAACTCTAGCTGAAAACTTCACACGCCGTACATACGCCATTACGTGTTATTATTATGTGCAGCTCACACACCACGTACGTACGTACGTACGTACACGTACTTGCGCGAATTCATTTCGAATCACGTGAGTAAGAGAGGTGGGGCTGGCCGTGCTGCTGCAGCTAGTTCAGCAGCAGAACATGAGAGCCACAATATCTCTCTTGTTGGTAGTGGCCCTGAGCACGTTGCAGGGTAAGAGACACCTCTTGTATAATATCCGACTGCTCGTACGATTACCTCCGCAGGCCCAGCCTTTGGCGAGGAATACCGCACGGGACACGGAAGAGTGAGTGTCACTATCCTAGAAGACACGGTCAACCCTGATCTCCTGCAAAGGCAACTGGAGTGCCTAAGAGGTGGCTTTTTTCCAGATTTCTACCTCGCAAATGAAGAGCCTATTCCGTTCGAAGTTCGTGGCTCAGATTTCTTCGTAGACCTGTTCATGACGAGGACCCCAGACGCGGAACTTGGTGACGAGTGGTACAGAGTTCTCATAGTCTGTGACGACGGAGACCCTGCCCAGCCGCCTGCCACGGCCACTGTCACTGTAACCATCTCCTCACTCAACGAATACTCCCCCTACTCCCCCCAGAACACCTACTCCATCTCCTTCTCGGAAGAGACCGGTGCAGGTCAAGTCACGGGGTCGGTAGGAGATGGCTCGAACCAATACCTGATCACAGACGAGGATGGTGGGGCGGACGGAAGACTCACATTCACTGCTTTAGACGATCCTCCAAGTCCGTATTTCTCCCTGGATCCCGCCACTGGTGACATACTTCTGATGAGGGCCTTGGATTATGATGAAGAAGAAATGGAACAGGAGAGCAGTGTGCAGATCCGTGGCTGCGACCGTGCCACTCCTGTCATCCTGTGTCCTAATGTCACTGTCAACCTCAGTCTCACTGCAGCCAATGACAACAGTCCTCAGTTTCTGAGGCGAGAGTACCGCAGCTCAGTAGATGAAGGACTGCACAGAGCCACGAAGATCACTATAAACGTTACCTGCACCGACCGAGATGTTGGGGTGGGCACGTATGACGGGATGGAAGTTGTGTCCAGCACACTCGGTCTTGTCGAACTCACAGACACCAGTTCAGGGACTGCACAGCTGCTCCTGACCGGTGCACTGGATTACGACTTCACCAACAATACGGAGCTGGATATCCAGCTTCGCTGCTATGACAGTGATAGAGGTGCGACCCAGAGGACAGATAATGCCACAGTAAAGATTGAGGTGCTACCAATCAACGACCACTCACCTCAGTTCACTGCTCAGTGGTACAATACCTCAGTTCTGGAGTCTCTGCCTGTTGGGAGCCTTCTCCTGACTGCAGCCTGCACTGACCAGGACAGAGACACTGGGAAGTTCCAGGCCATCTCCCTCCACCAGCCGAGCGACGAGGTGGAGCAGACATTCTCCATCCATCCAGCCACTGGTCAGATTTCTCTGACAGCCACTCTTGACTATGACAACCCAGCCACACGAAAGTACGTCTTTTCCATCGAGTGTTCAGACGAAGGAGGGATTGAGGTAATATCGAGGGTTGCCATATCTACACTTCCCGTGAGCGATGAGCATTTGACCTTCCAGAATCCCGTATTTGCCTTTACTGTAGACAGATTCACCAACATTGATAGCAGAGTTGGTCAAGTGGTGGCGATAGATGGGGATCAGGGGCAAGTCCCTGTAATTATCTACACATTGGAGTCGAATGACTTGTTTGATGTTGACGGTGAGGGTTACATAGTGCTCACAGACTACCCAAATAGAGATCAGCAGTCATTCTTCAACCTTACTGTGGAGGCCAGGGACAGTGAGGGAGTGGTTGCAGCACAGGTGCACATCACTATCAGTGGTCTTTTGAGCATTGTGGAGGCCATCAATGTCGGAACTGGTGTAGCTGGCGTGACTGTGGTGCTCATCATTGGAATAATGGTGTCTTTCTGCACTTACTTCTGTGTGAAGCTCTACAGAGGAAGGTAGGCATTGTGTGGCATTTGGTCTGCACCTTTTGTCTTGTGTTGTAGATTTGAAACCCTACCTGCTAACTGCCCTGGTAGAGCACTCACCTAGAGGGCAGAGTGTCGTGGGTTTGAATTCCACCTGCGGCAGTTCTTTCCTTGGAAAAAGAGTTGTCGTGTTGTTAATGTGTTGTTTGAATTGCCTTCGCCATGAGACCTCATTGTTTACACGTGCTTTGTCTCTAGCTCCGAGGCCACAACGGAGGTTCCAGTGAGGTACATGTCAGGAGACAGGATCCCCCATCGCCGGCCACCCAGTGCCATGTCTCGCAGCAGTGGAAGCTCCAAGGAGCACACAAGCACTCTCAGAGGACGGAGCACGCTCAGTATGCAGAGGGGGAAAAAGCAGAAGGCATCGAGCTTCAAAAGGAAGCCCCGAAAGCATCATGGGCTCCGCGAAAGCTTCACCAACAGCCTTCACAACCAAGCTGCTGTAAGTTAGAAGTCTGCAGAATTACTTTACCTTCTGTCTGTTCCTTACAGCCACCTGATGACGATCTGATACTGAACCCTGCAGATTTCGAAATGAACATTTTCAGAAATGAGGTCAGCTCCTAAGAAATATAGCATTCAAGCCTTGAATGTGTACACATATTTGATCAGGAACCTAGTCTAGAATGTTACGCACTTACTCCTCATTGGTGCAGGGTGCTGTACAAGCCGAAAAGGAGGGCGAGTTTATGAACACTGACCTGGATGAAGAGGAGGAGGGAGAAGCAAGCACGCACAATATCTTCAACCCAGAGGTGAGTATATACTGTATTATGTTTTGTGCAGAGGATCAAAACGATATTTTCCCTTGGCAGGATGCTGGACTGTTGCTGGGTGATATAATGATGTTCACTGGAGACGAGCAGAGAGTTAGCTACCTAATCCTGGTCTCTCATGTGACACTTGTCTCTCTGCAGTGGGGCCAGGAGGAAGATGATGGACTGGGGTCCTGGGGGATTGTGCACCAGCACCAGGAGTCTTTCCAGGACCAGGGCTCAGAGTCAGGGAGTGAGGGGGTCCAGAGTGGACAGTGGGACCCCACTGGAGGCTCAATGGAGTGGGAGGAAGACGATGACCCTTTCACTTCCATCTGAACTCTTCTGTGTATTATATATATATGTGTGTGTGTGTGTGTGTAGTGTGTATTTGCTCCGTTCAGATTTGTTTCTGTTTTGCATTTTGTTCACTTTGTACGTACATATGTTGGTGTATATAGCATAAACTCATGGAGAGAAACGCAATAAAAGGTTAAATTTAAACATGTGCACAAAAGTCACCAAGCTCAAAAACATGCAACATATCAAGCCAATGGCGCTATATAACACAAAGTACAAAAAGCTGAGGCTGGGATTGGGCCCAGTGTGTGTGTGTGTCAGCTGGGCAGTAGCAACGCCAAAATTATTAGTGGGTAAGAGCTGCTTTACATTGCACATCAGGTGATCAAAATTAGCAAAAACCGAATGTTGAAACTATGTCTATTTAACATGAGCCGAAGTCCATTCACTGATGAGGGTACATATTATGTCCACGTTTTGCTCAAAGTTCTCTGGAGTGTTGGACGGCAGTTCATGAACCATGCTGTGGCTGTAGCTGTCGCGAGCCTCCTCCAAAATGGTCTGGAATATCTCACACTGTACATTGTCAGTCAGCTTCTGCCCCGAGTAACCTCTGAAGGTATAGAGATATAAAAACTGGACTCCATATGCAGAGAAATAGTAGACCTCTTGGAAAGTCGGTCATAGAGCAGGGTGTTGTCTGTTCTGAGAACGACGACGACATGAAACCACCTCTCAGGGAAGAAGTCACAGCCATGGTAGTCAACAACATTCCCTCCCTCACTCATCACCTCCTCCAGTTCATCTATCACCTGACCCGCACATGAGACAATGGAGAAGCCAGACCCAGACAATGGCAAACCTTGTCCTCGTCAAGAATGGGACATTGGTACTGGTCATCGAAACCGTCATAGAGATCTTGTTGCTTGGCAACCAGACCAACATCCACGTGTCTCATTCCAGTTCTGGCACAGAGCTCTGCAGCTGTGAGGGATTTCCCCGTCCCTGGACAGAGAGACTGCCAGTTAGCAGAACTCTGGAAACACAGACCAGCTAACCTGGTGTCCCTGTGATCAGTACATTAGGCTTTCCTGTTGCTGTAGAGTCCAGTGTGTGTGTTCCGTCTGTTCCAATTATACGTCGAAGCTTATGTTTCAAAATTACTAAGCGGGAGGCGCGGATTTGCTGTAGTGTCGTCTCAAGCTAACTCCAGTTTTTTTTGGACGCCGAGTGATTTGCTGGACAGAGGGCTATATAGGAGTTCGCGGCAACTGGCTGTGTGACAGCGCTTAAGAGCCGCAAGAGGGTCGCGTTCTATTTAGTGCCCACCAGATGCTGATCATGAGCGACTCAGCGGGAGACGAGTGAGTGAAGCAGATGTAGAGACGTGCTGTGGAGTGTATGTTGGGAAGAGGGTGTGTGGTATGATATGGTCTCTGTAGCCCCACAGTGACGGCTCTGCTGGCCATGTCAGAGTTCTTTGTGAGCCAGGGACCACAGGCAGTGTGTGAGGCAGCTCGCTGTCTGCTGGCTGTGTTAGCTCTGAGACCTGTGGCGCGAGTGGAGGCCAGCGTGCGACTGAGACTGGGTCTACTGCTCAGTGAACACACCTCCTGTGCCCTGGAGGCCAAGGAGCAGCTGGAGAAGTCTGTGAGTGGTACAGGAGACAGTGACAGCAGTTCTAGAAGATGGTGTGTGTCATGGTGCAGATGTTGGTGGCAGGAACGTCAGGAAACATGCTGGAGGTGAGGTTCCACGCAGCCAGCAGTCTTGCGGGTCTCCTGGCGACCCAGGGTCATCAGCAGCAGGCACGAGGTCTCCTGCGAGGGAAGCTGGAGGCCACCTCTCACCATCCCTACTGGCACACCAGACTTCTCCTCCAGCTGGCTGTGAGTGGAACCTTCAGCCCACTCTCTGGGATTCTGGGAGTAGTCGATAGCCAGTGTGCTGTGCTGTGCAGCCATTGGCTCTTTCAGCATTTTCTCTCTCTGGCTGGTCCAGGACCTGATGTCCAGTGAGGGAGATGTTGCCGGGCAACTGAGCATGCTCTCCCGCTGTGCCGACTACTGCCAGAGAGTTGGTGCAGGCCACACCCACCTGCTGGCAACTTTGGCCCGCGGAGCTGTTCTCCTCACTCACCATGACTACTCTGTGAGGACTCATTACTGGGGGAAATCCTGTCTTTACATGTACCCTCTGCTGCAGGAGGCGGGGTCGGTGCTGAATGTGGCATCGTCTGTACTGGAGAACCACAGAGGACCAGGACAGGTTCTCCTCAGAACCTTCTACCTCACTATCCAGGTCACCCATCTCCTCATGGCGGGCCAGGTCAGCTCCCCCCATTCCATACTCTGGCGGAATGAGTTGCTGTGTATACAACTGGTTGTAGTATCCATAGGCATTGTGTGTTGTAACCAACACAAAATGTATTGCCTTTTGTTGTTGGCCTGCAATGTCGTTGTTGAAAGATGCACAGCAGCATAGGAATTTCCAAGAAAATGGGAGCGAACAGCTTTCATCCTATTGCACCGGACTCGCAGTTCAGTAGCCATATTTTCATTGTAAATCGCCAAGTAAACTGCATCCAGGCATGTCGTAGTCAAGGAATCAATTTCTGCAGTCTGGCAAAGTTTGATGTGTATATACTTCTCATATTAAATGCGGTGCAGGTGAAGACAGCCAAGCCCCACTTGAAGCAGCTGCAGCAGTGTGTACAGAGCCTCAGCAACCAGCCAGAGGAGAAGGCGGGGCCTGTCATGACCTCTGACCTCTCAGGAGTTGGACGGGGCTCTGCTGACGACTTCCTGTGGCTGACACGACATCATGCTTACATCACTGTCTACCTAGTGAGTCAGTGGCTGGGGGTTTTCCCTTCTAGTATGAGAACATAGTATCAGTTCTTCCACTTTCAGTCTGCAAAATGCTGCTCTTTAGGAACTATGCAGCTACGTGTAAAAGTCTCTGGTTTGGTCCCAAAACCCTCTGTGACACACAGGTTTAGGGTTCTAGGAGCGTGTGTAAGCCTTTTTGCCTGGAATATACACAAGTATTTTATGTATTGTGAAAGCTTATATTTAAAAATGATGTGTCGTAGGCCTGTAGTCAGCTAGGCTTGTTTTCCATGCAGGTGAGTGTTCTCCACTCAGTTCAGGCAGGGCTGACTGACAAGGCCCTCTCCTATGTGGATCGAGCTCTGCAGCTCATCAACCAGGAGATTGGTGGGTCTTCCTATTGTGGAACTAGTGTCCATAAATGTGCAAGTGGACAAATCAACTTCAAGTTTGTGCCTTATTGTTTAATGTTTTAGGCAGAATAATTACTCAGTATTGAAACTTTCCCTCTCAACTGTTGTGTGTGGTCTGATGGTTAAGGACACACACACTAGATCGTGAGGTCCATGGTTCGATCCCGAGTCTTGTGGGGTTTTTTAAATAATGATGTAATATGAGTGTTGATATAAGAGGAGCGTTTTTTCATCAGCTCTCGTGGCCAGCCCGAGTGGCTAGGTGGTTAGAGACGTGGGGACTGACACCATAGGTGCCTGGTTCGAATCCCGATCACCCACTAAAATGTCAGATGGTCCAGAGCATTGGCTGGGAACAGCTCTGGTTCCTCCCCTTACCCACAAATCTACCACCGACCCACTGGTTCTCAAAGGGCAGCGTATAGTTCGGCATAGCACTGCGTCCGTAGACGTCTGTCTGGAGAGAAGCTGGCCCAAATGTTTTTCTTTTTGCACAAGTTGTTTTTAAAAAAATTTTTTTCAACGTCAGTGTACACCATTTATTTTTTACAGGACTCAGCATAAGCAAGTTATATGCAGACAAAAACCATTTACATGTTTTATTCCCTGAGGCAGTTTTTTTTTTACAACCTTGTAGTAGCGTTTTTTGCTGAGTTCCTTAGTGCATAATCTGTGTTACTAGCTATACCATTCCGCAGAGAGATATGAAGACATGACCCCCTCCCTCTGTATGTGTGTGTGTGTGTGTGTGTGTGTGTGTGTGCAGTGTCCAGCATTCGGCCCAGTGGGGTGCTGGGTGTACTCAAGGTCCATATCCTGGAGCAGTCAGTGCAGTGTCTTCTGATGAGAGGAGAGACGACTAATGCAGCCACACAACTGCAGGACCTTGTTGACGTCTGCCACGCCCACCCTGTCCTGGTCTACTCACATAGAGCCGTCCTCCACACTCTCTTGGTGGGTATGGCAGTGGGTGTGGCTTCATAGGCAATGGTTGACATATTGATGCAAGCCCCAATAGATTGTACACCAGTCTTATGTCTTCTCCTGTGCATGCAGGGCCTGTATGCCTTTGCCACTGGTGGTCTGGACAGAGCTGCCGCTCAGCTGCAGACGGCCCTCCAGGTCTGTCAATACATCAGTGCTCGTAAACACAGTGACAAGTGCTGTTTCATTTTTGGTGGATTTTCAGGACCAAATTTAAACACATGACATTATCATGATCCCCAATCGTTGCTTGATCGCAGCATAATCAGAATTTACTCTGACCCTCTCTCCTCTCCTCAGCACACTAACTGCAGGGAGCTAAGAGTCCTCATTTCACTCAATCTTGCCGTCTGCTTCATGAAGATGGGGACGTCAAAGGATGCGGAGCTTGCTGCTCTCATGACCTCTGTGACCTCTGACGGAGCTGGTGTCACGTGAGTGTTGATTGGTGGGTGTCGTCTGGGTTGAGATGACCATTGATTGCAGCTGCCAGAGTCTCCAGAGTGCAGTCAGCTATGTCCGCGGCCTCTTCTCCTTCACCTCTGGTCGTATCCACGACGCCAAGCGGCAGCTGCGGGAGACGCTGGCGATTGCCAACGCAAGTGACCTGAATAAGCTGACCAGCTGCTCTCTGCTTCTCCTTGGACAGATCTTCATGGCCCTCGGAAACAATAAGGTCTGCTGGTACCCTGACAACCACTGTCCGTGGTGTGTGCATACCACCGCAATCATATAGATGTTAACTTAGACTGAGAATGGAGCAGAGAAAACCAACTTCTGTCAGTGGTGAAAAGTTGCTTTTGTCAGGGCTCGACTCCTGGGTTTTCACTGTTTCCTTCTCAGTCTGAGTGAACATCTAGAAGATTGCAGATATCAACGTTAATAATGTGTGTGTGTGTGTGTGTGTGTGCAGGAGACACTGGATATGGTGACTCCAGCACTTCAACTGTCAGTCAAAATGCCTGAGAACAGTCTTCAGGTTTGGGCCGCCTCTCTCCTGGCAGGTATAATTATACTACCTCCCTGTGACCCCGTCACCCACTCTCTTCCCGTCTGTCCAGATCTCTACCGCACTCTGGGTCAGCCTGAGAAGGAACAAGTTCTGCGACAACAGAGCAGTGGAGTCTCTAGTCTGTTGGAAGAAGGTGGGTATATACTCCACCCCACACCCCACACCTCTCCGTTACCTCACTCTTTTTATCTTTACTCCACCAGACAAGAAAAAAGCGGTGGGCAGTAAGGCCCACCAACTGGTGCAGGTTAGCATACTCTCTGTTTGTTGGGATTATTTCAGTGACGTCGTCCTGCAGTGGACCATTGGGGAGTGGCCAGTGACAGCCCCACCCCCTGCAGAGGTCAGAAGTCATCAGCAGGTTGCGGTGGTAGGGACACCCCCACGTCGCAGCAGTGTGACTGTGAACGGCAGTCCTGTGGTGCTAAAGACACCTGAGATCCTGCTGAAGAAGGTGGAGAGTCCAAGTAGAGCCACACCTCCAAAATCACTACTGGCAACGGCAAACAAGCCCCAAGCCACACACCCTCAATCACAGGCTCCACCCACCAACTCTGTGAGAAGGGAAGTTGCGGTGGAGGTGAGGAGAGAGAGGGGAAAACAGGGAGGCAAGTCCTCCAGAGACAGGTCCTCAAACCACTATCCCGATGCTGTCAGGGATCACAAACTGTGTGGCTCAACTCTCCAGGAAGACATGTGCCATGTACCACCCTCTCTTCCCCAGACTGCACACCCTCCGTGCAGTGAATCCCCGCACACCTCTTACATTCTCCCCAATCAGGACCCTCTTTCTCATTCACCCAATCAGGAACCAATCAATCAGAACATCTCTTCTTCTCAACCTAATCAACCTAATCAGGGCATCTCTTATTATCAACCAAATCCACAAACTAATCCTCAAACTAATCAGGATAACTCTCTTTGTCGACCAAATCAGGACACTTATTCTCAACCAAATCAGGAAACCTCTCACTTGGAACGGGACATGTCTCATCGCCAGGACATGAATCGCTGCGGGCCACATCAGGGAACATTCCACATACCAAACCAAGAAATGGCAGCTGAAGGTCTCCACTCTCTTCCACAGTCTGTTGCAGCTCCTTCCCCACCTCGACAAGCCCAATCTCTTCAGTCCATATACGGGGCGCACCCTCCTCCTGGCAACCAGATGGCTCCTCATCTCCTCTCCTCCCAGACCTTGGCTCTCTCCCGGTCCCCGAGACCCCTCTCGTCCCCCAGCCACTCTCAGCAGCAGTACCACCGACTAACTCCTCCTCAGCCTCACTTCCTTGGCCCTGATGGAACACCCCACCACCTCACACAACCTCCTCCTTCCTATGAACACAGCCTCTACGCTCGTACTCCACCCCAAATGCCAGGGTCCTCCCCTTCAGGTCCTCGCAGTCCGCAACTCCACCACCTTTCTCCCTCACATACCCCTCCACCCCCCAGGTACATGTTTGGAAATTTGTGTCCCATTGATTTGGAGGTTGGGAATGTTGGTTTGGGTTTACCGTTTAGCTGACTGCATTTGTGTATTAATGTGTAGTGGTGTATTGCGCAGTGATATTTTGCATCAAATGTGCAAAATTTTGCACCACACTGTGTGCTAGTATTGCTCAAACATGTTTTGACCAAAACATCTTGTTTTTTCTTGCCAGGATTCAAAGCCACACCCCTCATCTAGACCACACCCACATGTCTCCAATTCAACTACAAATGCTCCATTCTCAACAACGGTTGCTGTGGGAAAGGCAAAAGTACCTGCAGGCGCAGCAGAGAGCGAGACAGACAGGTGGCTATATTGTCGTGCCACCTGGCCCCAGCTCCGCTCCTCACTACCCAATGCAAAGTCTTACACCTCCCCACCTCTCGCACATGGCTTCTCTGGGGCAGATGGGCCGAGACACAAGTCGCGCCCCCCACGGACCTTCTCCCCACCCCTCTCAACTTCCTCCTGTCCACCTCCTCCCTGGACAACCTCACCTACCATTTCTCCATGGCCACCAACACCGATAGTCAAAACCTCTGCCACTCTTTTTTATGCAGCCTGTCATCATCTTGTGTTTCTATATCTAACATAGGTGATTTCTTATCAATGTATACTCGTATATACTGTGCTCAATCACGTGATATTCTTCACTAAAAGCACGCAATTAATAGTGGGCGCAAATGCGCATGCGCAAAAAGTAAACCGAGATGGAAGAGACGGGAACAACGGTGTGGAAGCAGGTTACGGCCATGCACTACAACGCCCTCCAGAAACAGGTAAGGCGTTGTCCGGGTGTGATGTCCGTATACTCTGATGTACTGGTTGTAGAGTGCAGAAGGAAGGTCTGAAGTTGGCTACACAGCGCCACTGATCAGCGGCGGCAACAGGTAACCCAGCGAGCGGAACTGTCCTCTTCCGTCTACTCTAACTACTGCCTCTCTCCCCAGGCCAGCCAAGACAGCTACTGCCTCTGATGAGGTAATCGTCCTGTCAGATGAAGACAGTCCTGCCTCAGCATCTCCAATTAGTGCCCCCCAGGAAGGAGGGTCTGCGGACTTGAGTCAAATCCAGCAGCTCCTGGAACAGGAAGAGAAGGAACTCAGACGCCTCAAGCAACTCCGAGGAATCCAGGCCCCCGTTGCCACGACAACCAGCTCAGACATGGAGCCTGTCAAATCGAGAGCCTCAACCAAAAGTAACATTATAGTTGTCCCTGGTAACCAGGTACAGAAGTCAATCACAATGTCTGCTGGAGGGACTGGGATTTCGTCACGACTGCAGCACATTGTTGACAGCATTGCAGTTGACCAGGCTTTCCCTCCCTCCCACAAGTCAGGAGCCGCCCAGGCAGCTGGTCGAAGTTATGCTCCTACCAATAAACCAGGCTGTGAGGTCACCTCTGACCCTCTAACCATGACGACCAAGGCTCCTCCCCCTCTTCTTCCGACCCCTGCCTCCACTGCTCCTTCGGGGAAGACACTGGTGCCGGTGACCTCTGACCCTGGCCCCCCCTGTCTAAAGTCAGTGGACCCGGAGAGGGAGAAGACAGTGATGGCTGCCGTGGAGAACTCAAGGCGATACAAAGAGTACCTCTCCAAAAACCAGGTAGCCAAAAAGACGTTTCAGAAGCAGATCGAGAGGAAGATCGCATCGGCTCCTTACCCCAAGACCTTCCGACAAGTGTGGCCTGTCATCCCTGTCTTTGACAACTCTTTCATTCGTAATTATGGGCTTGAGGCCATCATGCAGCACTTTGACAGTAGCCTTGCCAGTTCTGCAGCTCAAGAGAAGGCCAACAGCAGCTCCAAAGTGAAGCCGATCTGCAACCAGTGTGGCTGTGACTTTGCCTCAGCCTGGCAGATACGGAAGAGCAACTCGAAACAACTGCTACTCTGCGAAGCATGTGACTTTGCCAATCTGAAAATCCTGCAGAGGTCAAAGCTGGCAAACCAACTGAGGGACCTGCTGGCTTCCATTTCAAAGGAGAAGGAGAAGTTTGAGGCAGAGTGTGAAGAGGCTCGAAAGCAAGTCGTTTCGAGTGAGCGGCAGTTGGTGCAAGCCATGATGGCGCAGCCACACAACCTTCCCTCTCTGTACCCCTCAACCCAGAAGACCTCTGTCACTGCATCTGCCGCCAGGATCCAGAGCTCGCAAAGCTCACGAGGGAAGGTGCATGGCAGTGCAGGTGTGGTGAGCACCATGCAGGCTGTCATCCCCAGCATCCTGCCGTCCCTCTCCTCCAACAGGGAGACTGCAAATGGCTCGAGGAAAAGAAAGGAGCCAGCAGCCACACCCATGCCTCCTGCAGGCAAGTCCCTGAAGCTGGACCAGACACTTGACAAGTTGTCAAAAGCTCTGCTAGAGCGCAAGTTGGATGAGCAGCGTCAGCAAGCTGGGGGAAAGGGGGAGGGAGCTGGGGGAGGCCCTGACAGCCGCAAGAGCAAACGGAAAGGAACTCCGCGTCATAAACGTCACCTCAGCTCCTCCTCTCCAAACAGCCCGTAGCCAGTATTGTTGCACTGGATTGCGTCTGACTGTTATATCATAATCATAATCATCATGTACACTTGCTGTAATAGTGTCAGATATCAATTGGTTTGGGTTGTGGTTTGCGGATATGCCTCATGTTGGCACCTGCTGGGCTAGGTTTGAAGGGTGCGTGGCTACCATAAGGTTTTGGTAGTGGCAGTTCTCCTGCACTGGGGAGATACGCATTCGGGCGTGGTTCAGCTGTGGACTGGGCCTCCTCTGCTGGTCCCAACACCTGGAGAGCAGTGGACGCAGAATTATGATTAGTTTTGCATTCTGCGGTTTTGGGACAAAGACAGAGTAAAGTGTGAGTGCTGTCTGCCACCCATTTTCTTGGCTCTGTATATTATACATTTAAGGAGAGTCACTATGTCTGACCAAATACTCACAGGTCTTCACTCCATAGTGGGCCAATAATATCTACTTGTTCTTACACAATGGAAAAGAGCCTAGATATAATTAACATGGTACAAGCCATGTAGGTGCCAGATAGCAGGTGTGCTTGGGTATAAGAGTGCCACCATTCCCATTCTCCAAGTCATCACTGGTTACCTTTCTTAGAGCCAGTTGCTCTTCTCTCAGAAGCTGTTGCCACTGCTGCTCTGTGGCCTCATCTGGTGGCTGGCCTGCCTCCAGCCGCATGTAGGCTCGCTCCACACTACCCTCTCTCTCACTCACCTCCTGTCGCAGCCGCAATGCATTGGCCTGGGAAGCAGTAGGGACGGATCAGTGTGAGCAGTGGCCATGACTCCAGCATACCTGCTGCATGGTGAGCTCTGAGACAAGAGCCATAGTCTTACGTGTGGTGTCTTTGATCCTACTCTGGTACTGACTGACTCTCTGAGCCACCTGAAGAGCAAGATCATGGAGTCCAGTGGGGCAGGAAAACATATGCTTACTTGCAGTGTGGAGTCCTTTTGGGCAGTTGTCCTGAGTTTCAAGCGATCTGCCAGTCGACACACCTGTTCATAGAGAAGCTCTCTCTCCAGTGCAGCCTGCTCTTGGTGGGCCAGTCGAGTCTCCAGTGACTCCAGCTGCTGCAGCAACTCTTCCTGTGGGAAAGGACTGTTGGCGATGGAAGGCTGGTTTGAAGAAGGCTTCACCTGAGATGCCTTGGGCCCTGGGAGCAGCCGGACTCGTGTGGAATCTTGGGCATTCTCCACTCGCGACTCGAGAGTTTGCAGCCACTTCTCACATGCACTCACCTGGAATGAAATGTGTGAGGACAGGAGAATCAGTGGTGGTTTTATGTGTACCTGTTTCTGGGCAGTGTCCAGCTCTAGCTGCAGGTTAGATTGTTCTGGAAGACTCTTCCTGCACACCAGGATCTGCCGCTTCAGCTGAGTGACCTGAGGGACAGAGGTGAGCTAATGGAGAGATCAGGAAGGCCTTACCTCCATCTGTATGTATCGGAGCTCATCCTCTCTGGCCATGAGCTGAAGACTGGCCTGCCGCAGCACTGTCTCCTGCATGTTCAGCTTCTCATGGAACACACACACCTCCTCGTTGCGCTCTATCAGATTGAGACCAACGTCGTTTCGTTCCTGTAGAGCATGTTCGTAGTTCTTCCTCATCTGAGAGAGGTGAGGAGGTGAGGGAGTGAGAGGAGCGAGGCACACTACCACTACCTGGTTCAGCTGGTACTCTAAGGAAGACACCTGGTGAGCGAGCTTGCCCAGCGTCTCTCTCTGAATTTCCAGCTCTGCTCTGTTTTGAGCAGTGTCCAGAGCCAGTTTGCTGGCCGTCTGCCTCTGACTGTCCTGCTCCATAGTCTTAGCAGAGTGGATCAGACCACACCTCTGTAGCAGCCTGTTGTGAAGGTCCACCTCGCAACCACACCTTTCTTTTAAGTCACCTTACTTGTCTTTCTCCTGAGCTGACATTGTAAGAACCTCTGCTTCGTTCTCCAGTATGCGATACTTCTCTTTCATTTCATTGCCCAGCTGGAGAGACACACTCAGTAAAATATTCCTAAAGTGTACAATATGCAACTTACCTGCTGCAGTTTGTGTATCTGTGAGTGTGCATGGTTTCTCTCTGTCTTGATCAGTTTGTAAGCCGCTGCAAAGTCAGCCAACTGCTGCTGCAACTGAGCCACTGTCTTCTTCTGCTCTCGTAGCTGGCCTTCTTTTGTGCTTAGAACTGCTCTGGCACTTTGTTCAGACACCTTTTGGAGAGAAAAAAGGAGGGGTATGTCGCATTGCCCTGTCGCGCCCGTGCCGTGTTGCTGGGTCACAAGGATGGAATCGTTTTCTATCCTTGTGGCACGATGGGATGGATCAGTGCACAACAGGGCAATGCAGCATAGTATGGTGAACTTAGCCTAAGGATCCCCTCACTTTTGCTTGGTGGCATGTCCTGGAGTCTTGATCCCTCTGGCGGGTCTGCACACATGGATACATACACCAACTACATCTCATGCTGACAATGCCTACCAGTGCCACAGTTTCCTTGCCCAACTGCTGCAGCTTGGCAGAGAGAGAAACCAGTTTGGCTCTCACCTTCTCCTCCTCCTTTTGTCTTTCTTCCAGCTGGGCCTTCTGGCCTGAGCTCACTCCCTCCTACAAACAGTGGCTCACACAGTTCAAACTCCCTCTCTCTTACCATCATACTGAGTCCCTTGCGCAGACTCTCAACCTCGTCCCTGGCCTCTTTTTGCCTCTGTTGCCTCTCTGCTGCAGCCATTTCCCCCTCGCTGGTCTTTACCTGCAGGGCGTCCACTCTGAGCAGAAGTTGGGCCTCAGCCTGTTTCACTGCCACGGCATACAGCTCTGCTCTCTTCACCTGCCTGTGAACAGTCACATGTTCGACGCGGCGCTCTGTGACTGAGCAGCTCACTTGGCAATGGAGTCGTTCTCCTTGGTCAAGGTTGCCAGAGTCTCGTACAGCCTGCTGTATTCACTGCCCCTGTGTCGCAGCGTCAGTTCAAGGCTGGCCTGCTGCTCCAGCAGAGCTACCTGCTCCAAACCAGGGGAGATTCTCAGTGTGTTGAGGTGTCGTTGGACTGCCCACCTGCCTCTCCTTGGCCTGGGCAAGGTTGCTCTCTGCCTGCCGCAGCAGGTCGTGGAGTCGACTTCCCTCCTCTCTCCCCTCTGCCAGTCTCGCCCCTGCCTCCCTAACCTCTCCCTCCAGAGCTTGTCCCCTGCTCTGCAGCTCCTCCAGCTGCCTTGTCAGGTGGCTGAGGTGTGTCTCTGAGTCAGCTACTTGCTGTCTTGTTTCCCTGAGAGAGGAAGAGAGGGATGGGGCAGTCGGAAGCAGACATCAGTAGGGTAGTAGGGTATGTATATACCTGTATCTCTTTATAATGAGATCAATTTCCCGTGGGAGGTTTCCTGGAGTAGAACGCAGCTGAATCAGCTCATTCTGCATTGCAAGACGCAGTCACGCATAGATTGAGACTGTATGCTGTACGTTAACCTGCAAGGATTCCTCCGTAGCATGCAATCCATCCTGGAGACATACTCACATTCAAGTAATGCCTCATGAAAACTCTAAGAGCTCACAGTTTCCTCCAAGATGGAGCCCAGTCTCCTCTCCCTACTCTCTACCTCAGCAGTGTAGTGGTGCATGTCTTTGGAACGCTGAGGGCAAGTGATATACCTGCACCGCACTCAGTAGGAGGGACAGAGATACAAACCTTCCTGATTTCATCACGCAGTTCCTCCAGTTGTCTGTTGAGGTTAGCTACCCTGGCCTCCATGTCTGCCTGGCGAGGCAGTCGGTCCAGCTCCCTACTCACCTGTCCATGTTCCTCCTCCACACTGCAGGAAGAGAGAGTGTCAGTCAACCTCTCCATAGGGTATATTATATGGGCACCTGGCTAGCTGGGTTTGTAGGACACTGAGTCTCTGGTTGCTCTGGTCTAGCTGGTTTGTGTAGGTCAGCAAGATCTGCCGCAGCCGTGCGGGCTCTCCACTGTCTCCCTCTGGAAAGGAACGCCCTTTCTCTAGCACCCTCTGCTGCTGACTCAGCACCTGTGGTCCAGTGCTACAGGGTCAGAGTGCAGCTTTAGTGGGCATTACCTGTCCAAGCTGCTTGGCCTGTGCCAGTAGAGAAGTTTCAGAGGCCCGTGAACTGCAGAAACAAGAGCCAATGATTTTGCCAATGCCAATTGTCTGAGATTTACGAATGGTGTATGACAGCTCCTATGAACAACAAGTAAATAAAAAATATGCACAATTTAAAAAAGAGGCGTATAGGGATGGTATAAAAAGAAAGGGAGACAAAATAGGGATGGGATACATGAAGCATAGTTAATGAGCACGCTGACACCCCGACCCCATCACACAATCCTAATGTTGAATGTTTAATACTTCATCTAGGCAACAATATAGGGATTGTGCGATGGGGTCGGGGTGTCAGCATGCTCAAATCTGTTCATTAACCATGCTTCATGTATCCCATCCCTCCCCCTTTCTTTTTATACCATCCCTATATGCCTCTGTTTTTTTTATTTGCAGGATTTTTTTCATTTACTTGTATACTAAGTACTACCATACTTAGTGCTCAACCATGTCATTTTAGGTCAGATCATATAATACGAAACTGATCCCATATGCAGCCTTACCTATCCAACGTATCCTTCAACAGAAGGTATTTCCTGCGCAGATTTGAAGCCTTCTCCCGGCCTACCAATCCACTGCTCTGCAGCTGTTAAATATCTCTGATTGACTCAGTATAATGACCTATGGAGCTAGCTAATACCTGTTCCAGCGAATCCAGCGCCGCCTGGCCTGAAACGACCAACTCAACCGACGGGGCGGCGCATAGAGGAGGCCTTGCCACTGCCACTTCAGCTTCGCCTTTCTCCACAGACTCGCCATCCTCCTCTTGCGAATGATCTCCAAACCCTTCCTCTTCCTCCGAGATGAGCTGCGACGACGACATGTTTGCGAGTATTACGTTTCCATAGAAACAGTAAGCTCTTTTCTAATTAATGCGCACTTTCTACACGTGGTTGTGGGGATGGACGTTGGCGACCGTGATGCGACGAAGATAGCTAACCGTGTTTTGAACAAGTTTAGAAGGGAGTTGAGCGCACCAGAACTATATCTGGAGCCCAGCCAGTCGCTGCAAAGCGGGTGTTTGTCTGGAGTTGAGCATCTGTTCCGTTGTCTGAGGCAGAGTGCCGGTCATCTCCCAGTTGGTCCTCTCCAGCGGTTGTACACTGCAGACTTTGATGAAGAGCAGGTCTGGGAGGAGGTGCAGCTCACTAATGAGCCTGCGTTGGTCTCTCTGAGTCGTGTGGTTGGAAGACTGAGGCCAGGTATGCAGCTTGTGACCAGAAAACTGGAGAAGGAAGAAGAAGAAGAGGAGGAAGAGGAGGGGCAAGAAGAGGCAGAGAAAGACGCAGGGGAAGTGGAGAGGGATGAAGAGGAAAAGGATGAGGGTGATAATGAAGAAAGTGCACAGGAGGCTCAGAAGGTGGAAAAGTGTCACAAGCCGAGAGTTGATGATGGATTCTTCAGTATGTCGGCCATGGAGGAGTATTTGGAGAATGCAGACAAGCTCAGTGATCCAGGTATGATACGACTCTTCCACACACCTTCTATGATGGTCTCATTAGGCTCAGAGGGCAGTGTGGGTATGTTGGCTGAGGAGCTGTCTGAGAGTGACTCAAACCAGCTAGTTTATCAGGACTTCTTCGACCCTCCTCTAACTGTGGGGACCAGAGAAAAAGACAGCGATATCTCAAAATACGAGAGGGAGAAAGAGAAGGTACAGTGACCTGGTCAGAGTGCATTGTTGCTGAAAACTGGTTGTGTTTGCAGATGGCTTGGCAGATCCAGAGAATTGAGGAGGCCAATGTGCAGCCCAAGTCGTGGCAGATGAGTGGAGAGGCCAGCTCCCGAGACAGACCTCTCAACAGGTCAATCTCCACTCCTGTGTATTCCTGCCTACTGGAATGCTGGTAGCTCAGCTGGTAGAGCGTCCCACCCAGGGCAGCTCACTCTCCCCACACGCCTAGCACCCCAACCCTCACGCTCAGCAGAATAATGTACATGTATATACACGCCAACCCATACCTTTTAGAAAAGTTGTTTTTGTGTCGTTTTTGTTTTGAACTTTACATGTGACGATCAAGGACCTTATTTGATGATACAGTTTGTTGGAAGAGGCTATGGATTTTGAGCCAATGAGCGTGCCAGCTCCAGTGGTGTCTGAGGATACCACACAGAGCCTTGAGGACATTGTCAGACAGAGAATCTTGGACCAGGTATGTACCAGTGGTAATCTTTCCAGAGGTTGGGGTCCACGAAGTATTGCAGGCATGGGATGACGTTCAGCGGAAGGTGAAGCCACTGGAGAAGCCATATGACTACCAGAGGGCGCGACCTCTGAACCAGGAGAAGAGCACGCGAAGCCTGGCAGAGGTGTATGAGGAGGAGTATGTAGAGAAGACAAAAGTAAGTCTCTTGTTCTTTGAATTGTGGCTGGCTGCAACTGTGGACTTGCAGGTGAGCCAGCCGACTGAGACTGAGGATGTCAGACACGTTGAGCTAGAGAAGCTCAAGAACACACTCTTCGTGAAATTGGATGCTCTCACAAATTTTTACTTCACCCCAAAACCGGTATACACTAGTGGTTTTCCAGTTTTCCGTCCGCCACTCTCTTGTCCCCTCCCTCCCTCCCTCCCCACTCCCCAGCCTCACTCTGAACCTTGTGTTGTTAGCAATGTGTCCGCTGTTGTGATGGAGGAGGCCCTGCCAACAGCTACAGCCCAGCACACATTGTTGGCCCCAGAGGAAGTTCAGGTACGTGTTGTAGCAGTGAGGGGCAGGCCGTCATTTTTAAATTGAGGGTCAATGAGGGTCAATGGAGGAGTAAAATATTAATGAAAAGGAGGAGGGGTTTGTGTGCATTAAACGGTTCACTTAAACTCCGAAGGGGGGACCCCTGCCTCCCCTATGAACCCTGCGAGGTGCGTACGACCAGAGGACATCTCAAGAGTCCTTTTTAGTATATACCCTGTGTGTGCGTATGTGCAGCAGGGAATACCTGCACACGGGGTATACATACTCTTAGTATAGGGAGCCTTTTATTGAATGACATTAAGAGAGGGTCCTTTTTCAGAAGTATCACTGTACTGCACTACAGGCCAAGTTGCGAGTCCCCGAGAGAGGAGTGACTGAAAGGACTTCTGCAGACAAACGCAGAAAGAGAACTGCCAATAAGCTCCTGAAGAGGAAACGAGGAGTGAAGCAGTTGCTGCAGAGACCTCGAGCCAAGGACAGGAGTTCTGGGAAGACCACCTCCCGCCATTTCTTTGTTTCCTTACAACGCACAACTGCGACTACAATGTCATGACACATTACATTGGTTTTTAAAATAATGATCCAAAAATGGGTATATAGTTGCTATGAATGTTTGAGGGCTTGAAGCACTGCGAGCACCTATAAATACATGTTGGAAGGGAAGTAATACTCTGGCACCAGGAAGTTGTAACCTCTGTTGAAGTAGGACGAACAGTTCTCTCCTCAAGACACTGCTCAGCCAGATGCCACAAGGCCTGACCAACACCCTCTGGCCACTGACCAATCAATATGCTGCACACGTCACCCTCAAATCCCTCTATAAATGATATAATGTCTGTGTTCTCAATATTTCCATGGTAACAGACTGGTCCAGCTGCTGCTGTCCCTAGCAACAGCTCAAACAGGACCTGCAGTGGAGCAGTATTGAAGCTGGTCTGCCATCATGTAAGCAGCAATGGCATCCAGCTACAATGACTGACCACTCCAAATGAGTACACATCTGTCTTTGCTGAAACCACACCCCCTCGCAGGTAGTCAAGATCCATATACTCTGTCGTCCCAGCCACTGTGGTGGTTACCATAGTAGCAGAGGAGGGCTGGGCCCTCAGTACTCCATAGTCGCCTAGACTAGCAGTCCAGTCTTCTGCTAGCAAGATGTTGGCACTGTGTGGAGTGAACTCTGTGACCCAGGAGATGGTGATGTAAGAGGAAGCACCTTTTGACATCTCTGTGAATGAAGACCTTCTGACAGCCAGTGTGGAGGAACTGGAGTGCACTGGCCACCTGACAGGCAACTCTCAGTCGTCTGCAGCAGGAAAAGAGTCAGTCTGAGAGGATTGGGTGGCTGGCCAAGGAACAGACCTGGGAGGAGTAAGGGAGTCGGGGTGAGGAAGGTAGGGAAGAAGACACCCTCTTGGCAGGTAGGGGTAAAGAATGCACTGCCGAGGTCCATCACAGCTGAACCCCAGGACAGGCAGAAGATGTGGATGGCGGAGTCTATGAGGAGAGTGACCGTGTCACTAGTGAAGTGAGACAGACGAGACATACCCCGAGAGGGCTTGCATTTCTGCCAGGAACTGACTGTGCCACATGGCTCGCTCACTCCCCTGGAGGATGTGATGCTGCAAAAAGAGTTACGCAAAATTAGGATGTGTGCACCTCTGGATCTCTCCGCAGAACTTTCACTGCAATCTCAATTCTCTCCTGGCTACCAGAAATGGAGAGAGAGCAGTGGAACACCTCTCCTGACCCTCCCTCTCCCAGTTTGTGGCCACCTTCAGCAAGAGGGCGAGGAGAGAAGTCAGCAGTGGCAGCGAGAATGGTCTGGTAGGGAACAGCAGACACTTCCAGAGATTCAGCCTCTTCTGTGAGGAGATGACAGCAAAGTGAGGAGTAGGAACTCCCAACAAATGACTGGTTACAGAGAGGTGCATACATACAAAGGTATACCCTGACAGAAACATTGTCTAAAAGAATGTGAAGCACAGTAAGACAAACCCTTGATTAATATTGTCTACATTCTTCCAGACAATGCGTGTGTCCAGCAGTCTCCAGCCATTGTCTTGGTCTCTATATAAATCGGTTAGCATTCTACAGAAAGAGTTTCTTGGACAGAAAGAGGCCTGCAGCTATAGTAGCAGTACCTGGAGTGGAGGCAAACGCTGAATTATACTTTTCCAGAGCCTCTTTGCGTGCGGTGGGTGTGGTTGGAGGAGTGGGTTTAGGTGGAGAGGAAGGCCTTCGCTTGCACTCCCTGGCAGAATGGAGGGTTGAGGGAGGAGGGAGAGGAAGAGACCAGCCCTGGGCTGAAGGGTCAGGAATGAGGAGCCAGACTCTCTGAGAGCTCTGACTCACCTCTACAGTGCTCCTTGATGATATCCACAACGATTCCCAGTCGAGCCTTGTGAGCCAGCTGAGCTAGATCAACAACAGACCACCCTCTGCTGTCAAGCTCTGACATGATTGCCATGGTGGGGCTGCGTCCCTGCATACGTTGAGCTGCCAGAGGGAACGAAAGCTTAAATCGCAAACCTGCTGCTGCTCTGTGGCGAACAGTATGGCGTCGCTCTGAGTATACTCAGGTAACTGTTCGACGAGCGTCTTCCAGTTATGGACGGCGGCACCGTCCAGAATACCCGCCAGCTTCCCCAAAACAGAATATGGTAGGCTCATGATAGCAGGATACCGACCCCCTACAGTGGTAGACACCAGCTACAGTACAGGGTGAAGACGGCTACTTACCACTCGGGTCCATCTTGTTTTCGCAGTCTGTAGGGGAAATCCCTTACGCTTACACCCTAATTGAAGCCTGCTTCAAGCGTGGAAGGTCGGAGAGATGGCGGTATGTAGAGAGTAATCCTTCAGCATCTTCCTCTGACTAGTGTATTGGGCATGGAAACCCCAGCAGGTGATATTGCCCGTGTTACCTTTTACTATAGGACGAGGCGGCTGCGCAGCTGAAGAAGAGGAGAACTTTCAGGAAGTTCACTTACCGCGGAGTGGATCTGGACCAGCTCTTGGACATGAACTACGAGCAGCTGATGAACCTTGTGTCCGCTAGAGCTCGGCGTAGGTTTTCTAGAGGTAAGCCTCTTCCCCAGTTGGTGTGGTTGTTGAGGTTGTTTTCTAGGATTGAAGAGAAAGCCCTTGGCTCTCATCAAGCGACTGCGTAAAGCCAAAAAGGAGGCGCCACCGATGGAAAAACCAGCTTGTGTGAAGACGCATTTACGCAACATGATCATAGTGCCTGAGATGATAGGCAGTGTGGTTGGCATCCACCAGGGAAAGACCTTCAACCAGGTGGAGATAAAGGTGGGTGTGGAGTCGGACTGTGTGCAGAGCAAGTGTATGTGTGTCTCCCTCCAGGGAGAGATGGTGGGTCGCTACCTAGGAGAGTTCTCCATCACATACAAGCCTGTCAAGCACGGGAGGCCTGGCATTGGAGCCACGCATTCTTCTAGATTCATTCCTTTGAAGTGAACAACTGATAATGGTTTATGTATAAGTATGTTGCCAAGGTTGATGAAAACTGTGCAACGCCCCCTTTGATGAAATGGCGAATTTTCGGGTTTTGGCGTTGGTGGTTCTGTCTTCTTGTGTCGGAGGGTTATTGTACGTCTACTGGAGGCAGTGCGTGGAGCTGCGGGGGCTCCGCTCGGCGAACGGCCAACTGCGACATGAGCTGACGTCTTCTCGTGGGGATAGGGACCAGGTGCAGTTTCGACTGAACTTATTGAGGGAGGATCTGGGCGCGGTGCAGCAGGCGAGGGAGGAGGGCGAGCAGCGAGTGCAGGAACTAGACGATCAGTTGCAAGAAGAGAGAGGGAGGCTGGTTAGCAGTCATTTTGATCTGATACATAGACTAGAGGAATGTGTGTAGCGAGAGACGAGGCAGGAGCTGGAGGTGAGCAACACTAGGTTGGAGACTGCTGAGAGTAATGCTAGGCTATGCAATGGTATGGTGCACGCATGAGAAGTGTTGACTCAATGTGAGTGTTGTTGGGTGCAGACCAGAAGGTGACAGTGGAAGAGGTATTGGACCAGCTGAGATCTCAACTGTAAGTCATGCCACTCCACATGTCTGTCGTCATGCATCCCTGTCAGGAGTGGTTGTGAGGCTGAAAGCAGAGACACTGCAACCGAGAAAGCCAGTGAGAGGGTATATTGATAGCAGCTGCTAGTTGCAATTGTTCCTGCTGCTGCAGGGTTGAGTAAGGAAAAAGACGTGCTGAAAGAAGAAGCTAACAGAAAGAGAACGGAACTAGATCATGTAACACAGCAGGTGATATCTAACACGCACATTGAATATATCATGGTAACGTTGTGATGCAGTTGTCTCAGGCTGAAGCTGATGCACAAACCTGCAATCGTGGGTTAGTTGCCTGTAGATCACAGGTGAGCCGGGCTCTTGAGTTCCTATATATATCTAGGGATGCATGTACTGAAAATAGATGGAGTCAAGAGCTAAGCAACAGGAGATGGGCTTCCATGAAGAGAGACAGACACATCAGCAGTGACTGGCCAGTGTGAGAACCCCTGCACCTACGTGACCCACCACATCAGCCTCATAATACATGGACTCTAACACTGATATAATATTGCCCTAACATTCTGATGAATAGTGACATTGGGAGATTCTGTTATTGTATGTGTATGATTGGTTTGAGGATCAAAGTTCAGTGGCTCCTCCTGTTTCAGTCTGGGATCCCTCAAAGACAAACGACCGAATGTGAGGGTCGATGGCTGTGTCTGATGCTTGACTCAGCTCCACCAGACTCTCCTGCAGCTGAGCATCGGCCACCGACTGCATGACAATGACCAGATTGTTCTTCCCTCTTACACATCCACACAGCCACACTCACCTGGTCAGTTGCAGTGTTGAGGTGAGTGGTACTCGATGACTGTTTGGAGCCATGGAAGGCACGGCTGCGATTGAAGTGACGGTAGCTGGTGTACAATCTATGGTCATAGTAACTGGAGTCTTGTAGAGAGAGCCTAAAGCGGCCACGGTGCTGTGGTTTCCAAGGTTTGATAGCCCTTTGTCTCTCTCTTTCCTTCCGCTGGTCCTCCTCTTCATCCAGAACCTCAAGAGCTTCATCCAGAAGGTCCACCTGCAGGACACTGGCTCACCTCAACTACTATACTACTAATGAGAGGGTCTTACCACAGACTCTGTGTTTCCCTCGGGCTGACTCAGACTGCCTTCCCTGGGGAATGTGCTGCTTTTGCTCCCCTCAATGACCAGTGATGGCCTGTGCACACCAATCAGTCACACCACTGGAAACAGAGAGAAATAAACTCACAGAGTTGGAGGAATGTAGTGTAGTAGTGGGGGAGTGGAGCGCATGCTGTGGTGCCTTTGACGGGAGGCGGGGTACAGTCGCTGCTGTCCTTCCTCTTCAGGAATGAAACCAGGGAGTGAACATCCTCCCTTTCCCAGAGGAGAGGCCTGGCCACCACTCCAGTGGGATTGAACACCTCCAGAACTGTGTCCATTCTCCCTCCCCCGATAGGCAGGAGCAGGGGACGGACTGGACCACAGGTCCATTGTCATCTCTGTTGTTGTTGCCATGGAGTCCCCTGTCGGAGTAGAGTGATTGTGGTAGTTGCCATGGTGATTGTTTGTTACTCCAGTCAGGACGGAAGAGTCTGAGGGAGGGATGTCCCGCGACTGGCGGGAAGGGGACGAGTGATGGGAGGACTGTGATATCAGAGAGCCCTGCAAAGCCACAGCCACATTGAAAAAACATCATGCTAAGGACAGAGGAGGAGTGAGAGGGAAGCTGACCTGTCGAGGGTGCACAGGATGGTCTGGAGAGAGAGCCTCGGCTGGAGGTGAGTGAAGGGAGTAGTGTGAATGTCTAGAGTCCTGGCGAGTGTGGCTCTCAATTACTCCCGAGTGACGAGATGGAGTCGACTCAGAGCGGACGTGAAACACACGTCTTTCCTCAGTTTCAGTCGTGGAGTTTGGTGGGGAGGAGAGAGAGGAACGGTTTGGTCGCACTGCAGAGCTGAGCAGACAATATGGTGCAGTACGTGCACACACAACAACTGCCAATGTAGTCACCTGGTGTGGTTGAACTGAACTGGGTCAATGGTTTCACCAGCGAAAGACCGTCTGTAGATTAACGAGGGAGAAAATAAGACTATGGGAAGAGAGCAGTGTTTGTTAACAACCTCTGTAGTGGGTTGGAGGACGGTGTGTTGCGTGGCCGCTGCAGAGGTTTCACAACACGGACAGATCTGCGGAGAAATTGCTTATCATTGCACAGGTCATAAATATGTTTGACTGGTAGTCGGGGAAATGAATTCATGGTCTGAGCAAGTTCAGCTCAGTCTCAGTGGAGCCACTGCCTGCTAGTGCACACACTGACCTGCGAGAGCCAAAGAATCGCTGGAGGTGAGAAGGTCTCTGGGTGTGTGTGGATGTGTAGTTGTCCCTCAGACGGGAGAGATGGTACACCATGTTTCCCGCCATGGTCGATGAAGAACATGTGAAGTGAGGGGTGTGGCTTGTTGCTAGGTGCTGAGTGTAAACATGTCAGTGTGTATGATGTTGGGAGGGGGTGTCAGCCATTTTACCTGAGAGCTGATGTGGAGAGTAAGCCTTCTGCCCCTGTGACTGATCTTGATGATGGTGTGCCTGCAGGGGAGGGTGAATTTCCAGTAGGTACGTTGGCTAAAGGAGGTGTGTGTACCAGAGGTAGTGGTTAGTGGCCATCAGTCCACGAAGCACACGCACACCTGACGGAGATGCCGTCATAGTGACTGGGTTTCTACTACTGTCCTGTGTTGGGGAGCAGCAATTAGCACAATCTTAGGAATGTTGCTAAGTGGGTGGAACCTGGACTTGGTAGCTCATTATGCCGTAGGCTGCCTCCAGTTGAGCCACTCCTAGCAACTCCTCTCGACATGCACTCGGAGGCTTGCCTCTGGTAATGACGGGAAGGAGAGATGGGGAACATGAATCAGGCAAGGCCTGGGAAGATACCTGTTCATTTGATGCTGCATGCATATCTGCTGCTCTACTGATGCAGTCTGAATGGAGTAAATAGCACAGGAGTCAGATCACCAGCACAGACGATCTACACACTAGCTGACCAGGCGTGGCATCAGCTGAACATGACTAAGGTAGTCTTCTCCATGTTCCAGGCTGTTGTAGTCCCCCAGATCAGCTGCAGAGGAGGGAGAGGGAGGTACTGGTGACTTCAGAGACCTTATCAAGACACGCAACCTTGCACTGCGAGGCCCAGCATCCACACCACCTTGTCATCTTCACAGGCAAACCTGTATGTGAGGGTGTAGGGCTGAATGGAATGCAGGACTACAGGCATATGGGTGGAGGTGCGTCTGTTGGAATGTGGCAGTAGTGCAACTGTCACCTGTTCTCCAGCAGGTCTCTGCGAAGCTGCATGCACAGCAGGGAGCGGGAGGCAGGCTGGGATAGGGAGTGGTAGTCTAGAGGGTACACCTGAACTCTCAAGTGCAACTGGAAAGGGCCTTTGCCTGCAAAACAAGTGGCCAGTTTTCAGAGTTGGTTTTGTGTTTACATCCCAATTTGGGTGAGCTCCAGGCTCAGCAGAGCTCTACTTACTCACCAGTCAACTGCTTCTTCAGCGGTTTGTTGACGACAATCCATTTCTACAGCCAGCATTATAACATTCAGTTCACATGTATTTTGTCCTTAGCTCACCACAAAGCCGCCTTCGTAAGATGCCAGTCCGAAGTAGTCGGGGTCTCTGGATGCTTCGCATTCTTCTAATGTCCTGTTGAGCAGCTCCTGTCCTGTAACGCGGCCCTACACGGAAGAACAACAAATAGAGTCTCGCCTCTGCCACCGCACGGTCTGGTGGTTTGACACCTCCAAGTCGAAGGTGAGTGTGCTGCCGTCAGGAGAAGAGACGTGGTAGGTTCTAGGAGATCGCCTGCGCCTGAATCCGAAACGAAACATGGCTGAACTCCACGCCGATCTCCGGTCTCTCCGCCTTGTTTACAAAAACGAGCGTAGTTTGACGGTCTTGCGACCCCTCCTACCTAGCGGAACACCTTTGAGTGACGTCATGGTCTGGTTGGTAGTAGTGCTAACTGGTGCATGTGGTAGTGGAAAGTAAGACAGCTCACCACTCACTGTGCCCTCCGAGACAGGAATTTTGTAGCTTTACATGATTTTTCTCTCTATCCATTATTATTTGAGCACACCTGTCTAACTGTTTACCTGTAGGACTGCAGTGGGACATGTTCTAGCAGAGGAAGTGAGTGGTGAATTGGTTTCAATGTCCTCTATAGTAGACTTCCTAACTGTGTGTCTCAGGAGAAGGCTGTGTTCATAGAAGCTGATGATTTCCACACACCTGAAAACATCAGTAACATGGGTAAAGGGCAGCCACTCACAGACCAGGTTCCCAATAGTAGTGTCAGTACCCAAACATAAGAGTTCTGTCACCAGGACAGACATCCGTGGCTGGAGGCCCTGCATGAAGCTCTGTACCAGGCAGCCAGTGAGAGCTCTGTGGAGGGGAGGGTGAGAGTTGTGGTTGCCTGCTCTGCTCTCAAGAAGAGCTACCGAGACATCATTCTGGGTCGAGGGAAGGGAGCTAGAGGCAAGTCCCAGTGTAACATGTGAGATGGTTCAGTGTTTGCTCTTCCACTCAGACTTGAGCAGACGGTGTGTTGTGGTCCAACTAACAGCCAGTCAGGAGGTGCTCACGTCACGTGTCGCAGAGAGAAGGGGACACTTTATGCCTCCCTCTCTGGTCACCAGTCAGTTGGCTGTACTGGAGCCACTGTCGGCACAGGAGTGGCCTTGCTTAACTTGCCCCACATTGGGGACTACAGCTAGTGTGGTTCAACACATTCAACAGTACATTTCATCTTTGACACAGTGACATAATAAACTAGACAGCTACCACAAACAATGTTTTTAAAACTGAGCGTCAATCAGTATTATGATGTAGTCAGAGATCATCTAGTTTACATGGAAGTGGGTGGGCTGATTGTAGCTGACAACCTGGGCATAGAGCGGAGGAGGGGAGATGGTGTGGTGGAGGTCAGCATGACGATGCTCATGTGGACTCTGGTCAAAGTATGTGTAAGTAGCTGCGATGACCAGGAGAGCTGGGGAGGTCTGAATAGATCATGCACCAGATGAGACATTGGCTGTCAATTGACTGAAGCACTGAATACCTTTAGCTTCTGAATGTCTGGGATCCGGAAATGCATAAGATCCTTCTTTTTGCGTTTCTGGTCATGACCGTAGTGGAACTGGGTGGTAGTGGGGTCCACTTCATCCTGGCTCGGCAGGTGCTACAGAGTTCTACAGTGCATTTATGTGTAGTGTGTGGAGTCTTTTTGCTCACGGGGAACTCAGGGATGTGGGGGTTAACAACTTTAGCAGTCATTGTCTCAATCTCAGTGGAGGCCAGACAGCCGTTGAGCAGTTCCACGCTCACCACCAGCACGTTGGTGTGCTCTGCCTCAAAATGAAGCCTGGCAACCAGCTCTCCGTCATTGGCTGCCACCACCACTGAGCTTGGCACCCCTGCAGAGAGAGACAGAGCTCCACTCCTGATATCCGGTCACTGGAGGACCTACTGTGGGCCTTTCTCCACAGCTCCAGTCTTTCTGCCCTCGGCCCGTCCATCTCAGGAGCACGGGAGACAGGGTCCGTGAGTGCCAGAGCCTCTCCCAAATTGCTCCTGATCTCTGGCTTCTGCCAACCCACTGTCCCTGGGAAGTTCTTGACCCCTCTCAGCCTCACCTCTACACAGTAAAGACAAACTGCAGTTAGCAATTTATACATGAGCTAAAGAAACCTCAGGAGTATTATGGCCCTGTGTAGGATGGAAACATTGGCTCCGTCAGTGATTTGGGTGTGTTGTCATGTGTGCTAGAGGGTGCTAGGTACTTGTTTGACTGCCCAAAAGAAGGAAACAAAGATACCACACCCACCTTCAGCTGCCTCAGTGAGCAGTCGATCAACACGAGTGGCTAGTGTTCCCTTCTGCACATGCTCCTTGAGGGCTGCCACAAATATGCTGTTCTCCCTCTCCTCGGGGCGGGAGGCAGGGCCACTGTGACTGATCTCATATGCCCTTTCTGCAGGAGAGCTACACACACACACAGCTGGAAGGCCTGTAGAACGCTGGGGAGACCGACTTACCAGGAGAAGCCATAGACAAAGTAGCCCTCATGGTGCCGAGGGGAACAGTAGACACCCTCTGCACCCAACTCACTGTGCCTGAAGAGAGAACCAATTCCATCACGAAGATGGAGGGCATTGCAGCTTACGGCTGTGCATGGGAGCGAACACGGCACATGTCCAGGAGCACAATTGACAGCTTTGCTCCATGGCTCTGCATCGTGTGCTGTACTTTCTGAGCACAGAGACAGTGGGCTGGGTTTTTGTCCATTGTAGCATCCACTGCCATCATGTAGTTCATGCCATTGTACTCAAACCCATGGCCCGCAAAGAAGAACAGTGCGTACACATTCTTGCCAAGAAGAGACGAGAAGTACTCCACAGCCTGCACCAATCAGAAGAACTGCTCACAAAACCATGAATCATTGTTAAATTTAGCATACACCATGTTTTAGCCTAGAGCTATTGTGTTCACTTTATACTAAAAAACCAAAAACCAAAAAGCCCCCGCAGTTCCAGAGGATTATCGTACCTGGTCCATCTCCTGCTTTGTCAGGTTGACGAGTGACACGACCTTGAAATCAGCGGAGCGGAGGATGCCAGCCAGATCCTGTGTGTCAGCCTCTGGGGTGTTCAGTTTGAGTCGTCCATGATGGTAGCGTCTGTTGCCAATCAGCAGAGCCACCTTATCATAGCATGGCTGCGTCGGGTCAGCCACCACATCTAGAGAAAAATAACACAATTATGTATATTGAGGTGAAAAAAGAAAAAAGGCCTGAGGCTGTAATTAAAACTTGGGTTCTATGCGCTTAGCCTCTACGCCACACATTAGTAACTATAATGCAAAGTATTAGTTTGCGTTACGTGCAAAGTTTGTGTTTGGTTGCATGTGTGAAATGAGCATGTTGTGAACACCACACCCTATGTACATGAGTGGAACGTACCCTCGCCAACTGGTCCGTCTTGCTGGGCCTGAGAGTGGGAGGAAGGGTTGCGAGATGGCCTCTGCTGCTGCTGCGGGAGGTGGGAAGCAAGCTCCGGTAGTCCAGTGGTGTGAAGGGAGGGGGAAGGGTGGGGTGAGAACTGGCCATTCTGAGCCTCGTAGGCCACGTACTCTGCAGGTGCAGGATGCGGGGCCCACTGCAGAGGTGCATAGGCTTGCTGCTGTGGCTGGAGAGGGAGGACTGGTGTAGGGATGGGAGGCTGGGAGAAGGCAGGCCGAGGGAGCTGCTGGGGGAGGGTCTGCGGCAGAGGAGACACCAGCACCCAGGCAGGACTGCTCATCACACTCCCTCCCGAGGGACTGGTGATGCTGCAGGTGTACATGCCACTCTGGTCAGGAGTGACCTGAGGCAAGATCAGTTCTCGGGATGTCCCATAGGGCAGGCGACTGGCATCGCAATACCACTGGTAGCTGAGTGTGTCGTGACCGTGAGCTACCACCACCAATCGAACCTCCTGGCCAGGGTGAGCTCTGACCTCTGCCTGTGGCTGAGTCAAGATCTCTGGCAGCTCAGCAGGCACCACTTTCGGAGGGTCTGGAGGGAGAGGAGGAGAGAGAGTGGCCTCGTAGTTGGCAGGGGAGGGCTTACCTCGTACAGGCTGCTGGACGGTCACCTCAACCCAGTTAGAGAACTCAAGGTTTAGGTCATTGCTTGCTCGGCAGCAGTAGCTACCTTCGTCCGCCTTGCCAACCTTCTCCAGAACAAGTCTGCACAAAAGAGATTGGATCAGGCCATCAAACATCTAACATCCACCACCATGAATTATTGCAAGTGTCCTATTTTATTATAATGTGGTATGTGTTTGTTAAGTATTAGGTCATACTTCCTGTTATAGCTACCACAATGTACAGTTAGCTGTGAGTGGTGCATAGGACCAGGGTTTGAATCTAAGCCTCAGTGCTTTATACTTCCACAGCTTATTTAGTTGATAGGGCATATGCATTCCCCACCAAGAGCGTTAGGATTCTGTAGTTGTAACTTGTTGGAGTATAGCAATAAGGAATAATGCGCCCAATTGAAGTAGGGCAACCAGGCTGCTGTATCGTTATTGAGAAATACACTTACAAAACCAAACATCTACAAAGGCATTCCCAAATCTATTTGTGCCAAAAGGTCAATAGCCATGACAGGAGGGATGGCTTCTACACTGTATGTGGCTGATTCATGACATGGTGGCTGCAATGTCCATTTACCAGACAGATTACTCGCAGTGTATTCTTAGAGGGAATAGGGAAAGACAAGAGCCACACTCAGCTGTTAGAATACTGGATTTCCAGTCATTATGCCAGTATGACTCTCCTGACTGAAATTTTTCTCCCTTTGCTTGAGTATATATACTTAACCCATCATAGAGTCATCATGTATCTGTTAAGTTAGGCCAAGAAGTGGAATGTATCTGGAACTGCCTACCTGTTGGAGGTCTGGACAGGGAGAGGCTCTCTCTCTTTAAACCACAGGAACTTGGCCTGAGGCACTCCAGACGCCTCACACTCCAGCACCAGTCTCTGGCCCACCACTGCTGGTTTGGCCTCGGCTGCCGCGTGAACTGCACTTCCTCTGCATGCGTGGCAGACCAGGCGCTCATTAGTCACACAGATCAAAAACCCTTGTTACCTTTGTAGCCCAGTTCTCTTAGTGCCACATCAAACTTCATGCTCTTGAGGTACGTGACCAGTTGTTCAAAGGTCACTCCTCGATTTCCCATGTCTGTGAGTAGCGCATAGCCTGGGCTACCATCGAGTCGGTTGGCATTCATAGCAAATCTGTTGACGGTGAGCTGGTCGTACATCCCTTCTGGCATGACTTCTATGAGTTGTCGCCAGTATAACTGGTTTCCCCCACACGGCAGGTCCAGGCGATTGCCTAGTCGTTGAAGACTTGCATAAGGAAGATCGCTTATCGAGTCACTGGGTCTCGGTCCGTCGTGGGTCTTGGCTTTGGCGTTCATCGTCCTGACGCGCGGTGGCTGTGAGAGAAGGGATGGAAATGGGAAAATCCCTCACGCAACCGCTTTCAACATCACGTCATCGTCTGTGTTAAGTTTAGGGATTCCCCCTGCCTTGGGGGCGCGGTCGGTTTATGTGTGGCGGTGATGGAGGAGAGGGAGCAAGAGTCATCGGCTGAGAGTGTTACATTTATCTCCAGTCCAAACAGAATGCTAGTAAGTTGGACTTCCATGTTCCCTTGTTGTAACCCTCGTCTGCCAGCGCATAAGCAAGGAGCTAAAGAAGCTGCAGTTCTCAAATCCTGGTGAAAAGATGAAGACAATGTCATCAGCAGCTAGGTGAGTGGCAGGATTTGTGCCAGTGAGGTGTAGCTGCTGTGTGGCAGCAGGCGGGCTCGAGGGCCAAGTGGCATTCAGCTTAGCGGGGGAGAGGATGGAAGGCTGGGAATGTGTGACTGCCTCGATATCCACTGTCCAGGTTGCTTCCTCCCCTGCCCCAAGTGCAGGTGAGGCTTTCAGTCTCAGTTACAGTGTGTGTAGTGCCCCTAGGCACTCACAGATCCAACAAATGTGGAGTTGTATGTCAGACTGGGCGGCAATGGGGTTACATGAGGGAAGTTTCAGATCCTGACCAGTGACTACACACCCACTATAATAATATTATGTACATTGAGTGTTTTATACTAATGATGGTGTGTCTGTATTCGAGTCTTTTGGTAGCGCTGCTGCTTGGCATACAGTCTTGCACTCATTGTCACCAGCTGCTCCAGCTCAGGATAAACCTGTATTAACATTATATAAGAAGTCTCAATAAGCAACACGTTGGGGCCTCGAAAATGACCTGGCGTTCCTTATTTGAAGATATCCACCAATGTATTACAATGCAGCAGAACCAAGTGTATTTATGGGGAGGTGTCTACAGCCCTTTTTCGGAGGTTGACATGGGTATTATACTACATACATACATACATACATACATACCTCATGGACTTCTGGACGGCTGTGCATCTTAGGTTCAACACACTTCCTGGCAGTTCTGAAGAGAGAAACAAAAGATTCCGAAGGCCAGGCACCTGCATGTTCATCAATCTTTGTACAGAGGATTTGTGGAATATCTGTATCCATGTCTTTCTCCATGTAAGTTATCTGGAGAGAGAATAGACTGTTGCTTACACACATTTGTTGAACATCAACACTCACCAAGTCTTTGGGGTTTCTGAGTGGGTCAAACGAAGGAAGGCCAGAAATCAGCTCCAGCAGTATCTGGTTGGCATTTATTAATTAAACCTTATCATTAATGGCATACACACCTTTGACTCACCACTCCAAAGCCAAATGCGTCCATCTTGGTGGTGATGACTCCTCGGTAGTACTCTGGAGGAATGTAACCAGACGTTCCCACAACTCTGGCGGTGCGAGTCTCCTCTGCCTGCTGGATGTTGCGAGCCAGCCCAAAATCTCCTACTTTAGCTCGGAATGATAAATCCAGCAACACATTTGCACTGGATTAATAATACGTGATATCTGTCAAGTGTGCGTCCTGCATGTAACTGGAACCAAACAGACCTCTTCACGTCACGATGGACCAGTGGCTGACTCCGGTCAGCTGTATGTAAGTAGGCCAGACCACGAGCTGTGTCGCAGGCTATGGAGAGACGACACATCCACGGAAGACGGACACTTCCAGTCTTGGCATTCAAGGACGCTCCTCCCCCCAACTGTCAAAAGCTGTCAGGCTACGCCTTTTCTACACTCATCCACTTACCCCGATCTCCAGAGCATCTTCTAATGTTCCATTTGGTAAAAACTCGTATATCAAGCATTTTGGTTTTGAAGGGAAAGAGGAGTAGCCAATGAGTGTAACAAGGTTTGGATGCCGGAACCTGATAATCACAAAAACTGCCAGTTAATATAATATACGTATATGCTTCTTGTATGTCAGAGCTTACTTGGTCAGTACATTGACTTCAGTTTCAAACTGTTCGCCAGCTAGCCTCTCTGCACCGCTATCTCCCTGCGGTCAAAAAAGCCTGGTTGCAGTGTAGGTTTGTATATTATTATGAGAGCATACCCGAGGGACTTTACGCAGTATCTTGATCGCCACATCGGTGTGCCGGAGCCTGCCTTTGTACACCGGTCCGAACCCGCCCTCTCCTAGCTTGCACCCTCCTTTCTTCACGGAAGTGTTGTTAAATCCTCGAGTGGCGTCGGAAAGCTCCTGGTGATCAAAGTGTATACACCCAGTACAGCCAGCCATGATCTCTAAAAGACGTTAGCCACGCCCATCTCACTATGACGTAACACAGATAATGGTAAGTAGCTACAAGCTAGCTTGTGGCTAAATATTAGTGCTTTTCTCCAAATAGGCAACAATTTCAGACAGACTGGTTGGTATGGCAGTGATGTTTGTGGCTGTAATGGTAATGTGCTACTATTCTGCCTGGGTCATTGTCCTGGTATGATGAAATCTACCATCCAAACCTCATGACCCCTTTTTTAAACAGCCTTTTGTGGATGAAGACAACCTGGCGCAGAAATTCTTTCTTCCATGGTGGTGGGCTGTTGTATTGCCTACTACTTTGTTGCTGATATTGATTGTATTCATTGGTGAGTGGCTAAGGCGCATGCTTCGTCTTCATTTCCCACTTTCAACTGCAGGAACATTCGTGGGTGTGGTTGTGTTAAAAAACTCAAGGCAAGCTGCTAAGTCTCATCATGACTAAGATATCAATACTAATCAGTCATTATTCTGTTTAGACCTAGGTAACATTATAGAAGTGCAACATGTGAAAGAAACAATAGGCATATGATTTGTATGCAAAGAGATTTATAAGTGGGTAAAAGTCTCAGATTGTTTCCAGGGGTTCATCCACTTTCAGGAAATCATCCTTTTACTATAATAACACACACAAGGCAAAGCAAGATACAGATGATAATCAAGTTGATGTATAAGGCAAAGCTCTTTCAGCCAAGATAATTATGTTGTAGGCCTACTAATTCTTTAGGATGAAAATGAACCTGTTATAAGGTGACATAAGGCAGAGCTCTTTCGCCCAGATAGTTTCCGAGAGCATAACTTCTAATTTTTTTTTGATCTGGAGTGACTGAGTCCGAAGTCTCTACTTAGTGACTCTGACTCTTGTGACTCAGTGACTGTACTGACTTCACTGTGGACTGTAGTGAATGTCACTCACTGAGTTAAAAGGTTTTGGAGCCCTCTCAGAAGCAGCCTTTAAAACTCTTTGGGGCCCAAAGCACCTCGAGGGGTAATTTACGTCACTAAAACGCAACGGAAACGCAACGCAAAAAAGAAAAAATAATGCGCGAAAAACAAACTAGGGACCTCCCGTGTTGAAGTGCACTACCTTAAAGCCCGAGCTATTCACTCCACACTCCTGAAGTAGGCTAACACGTTACCTATATTCCGGATTACGTAGGCAATTGCGCCTGTAATGTGGACCCCAAAGAGTTAACCTGCAGTTCACTGCTAA